GATACCCAACAACATCAAGATAAACAAGGTTATTCTGACATAATCCACCTCTCCATAACTGTCTACATACAACGTAGCCACCACTCACATATATACCTTACTACTCCCCTTTCATGCTGGTTTTCTTAGTTTGGTTGGACATTTTACCCACAAAAATAGTCCTTTTTTTTTTTTTTTATTATTATAATTTTTTTTAAAATACTTACAATTGTGTTAACAAAAATAAACACCCTCATCGGTCACAAATACAACGCTTAGTGGGTTAATGGAACACAAGTGTCAGGAACACAAACATGTATTCCTGACATTATAGTGGTAAAATCCGACCCCCTTGCCTCCATTTGAAAAAGTGATTTTACTCGCTGTGCCAGTTTTACTGCAGCTCACTCTGCCACCCTGGCTGAGATCATAACATTTCCCAAGCTATCTCCCATAGGAAAGCATTGGGAGGCTATTGCACATGTGTGGCAAAACGCTATACTGCGCTAATCATCATCTGCTTGTAGAGATGCATTGAATCGATAGATCTATATGAGAACATTCAGCGGACACTGAATGTCGGTCTGAGTGACTGCCCCTAGAGGTGTTGTCTCTGAAAAGGCAGTGTTTACATTAAAATGCATGCAGAGACAGGCTATAGATACCAGAACAAGTACATAAAGCTGTAGCTGTTTTGGTGACTATAGTGTCCATTTTATTAGAATAGCCACAAGATGTCGCCAAATACTACTTATTAGTATTAAAAAATATTTGTACAGTAAAATGCTAGATAGAAATTCTCTAGAAAGAAAAAAAACAAGTTTGAGATTTTGAGCAAACCCTTTTTTGTATTCCTGTCGTTATAGCTGTAATATCATTATTTAGCCCCACTATCCCCCTGTTACCTATGTTTACTCTCCTTTATTCCAGTGCTGTGAAGATCTATCTCTGTGGCTGAGATCATCAAAACTGACGATCTCCCCTTATTCAATGCTTTCCCATAGGAAAGCATTGGGAGGCTATAGCGCATGTGCGGCAAAATGCTACGCTGGCCAATCAGCATCTCCTCCTAGAGAAGCATTGAATCACTATATGGAATATTCAGCATCTCCATGCAAGGCGAGCAAGAGGGAACTGGCAAAGCCAAATGGAGGGACCACTGTCCGTGCAGTGCCTGCATGAGCTATAGAGGGAGGGAGCAAGCTGGCGGGGGAAATCCTGTTGCCCCGTTGATCATGCTCCATTTCAGTCCCGACTAATGGCGGCAGGCACAGCTCTAACATGAGGTGCCTGCCATTGATCTGCCTCTCTGTGCGCTCTCCTGCTGGCTCCCTCCCGCACTGTCTTAGTACCTGTCTGAATTTATTGAGAAGCGGTGCTGCCTTTATAAGCACTACATTCAGGCAGCGCGGGGGGAAACCAGCAGATCGATGGCAGGCTCCTCACGTTATAGCCATGCTTTCCGCCATTAGTGGGGACCGAAATTTTTTTTTTTTTTTAAATGCAGCCACTGCCAGCCTTTTCTCAAGGCGGTGTCTGCTACTGCTGGGGACCTGGGGAGGGAAGGTACAGAGTCAGGCACTTACCTAAGGCAGAGAGACAGTGGAGTTCTGACAATACCACCCTATGGTTAAAACAGACAATCAGAGCTCAGTACACTAACCTGCCTACTAAGGGCTATTTTTGTCCCACATATTTGGCACTCCAATGCGCTCCACTAGGAAACTATAGGTGAAATAAAGCACTTGCCATTGAGTTTAATACAACTTTTCAGATGTTGCCCAAAAATCTGATTAGGCTTTCTCCCCCCCACCCCTTCTTCTCTACCCTGCAACAGCATTAGGAATTAGCAAGGGGAACTGCAGTACTAATATTTAAAGGGACAGAACACATTCTTTTTAATCACACAGACACATAAGGTGTAAGTTTACACAAAAAAAGTTAAACACCCAGCAGAAAAAAAAAATTGTTTTTCCTGCAATTTAAAAAATTATAAATAAAACTGGTGGGGTGTTGCCCTGATGGAAAAGCCTCGCCTGGGCACCACCGGAGAATTTTCTAGATGATAGGGAACCACTGGGAGTCTAACTTTTAGTACCCTCTGTGCATGAATGATTTTCATTCTGTATAAAATCACTACATTTAAAACCAGTTGATGTGTATCCCAGTTTAACCCCAGATTTCCTTGTTATTCCAGCACGGCCGTGGTGACAGTGCTGTTGGAGTGACCTGTCTCTCCTTCTCGCACTTTGACCAAAGCCTGTTCATCGTGGGTGTTGAAGGTGGCTACTTGCTTAAATGTTTTTCTGGAACACAGACTGCAGCTCTAGCCAGCACATCATCTTCGGTTCCTTTAAAAGCTCCAGCCCAATTCACCTTTTGCCCTCAAGGTGGACCTGTACACTGTTTGGACTGCTCACCTTTCCATAGGTATGTAATATTTCATTAAAGTACTTACTTTTCTTGGGTACCTGTGATATCTGTTTATTATTTGGAAATCTACTAAAGTTCTATTTAGACAGTTGGCTTTGATAGCCTTAAAGGAACACTATAGTCACCACAACAACTTTAGCTTAATGAAGCAGTTTTGGTGTATAGATCATGCCTATGCAGTCTCACTGCTCAATTCTCTGCCATTTAGGAGTTAAATCACTTTGTTTATGCAGCTCTAGCCACACCCCCTGCATGTAATTTACACAGCCTTCCTAAACACTTTCTGTAAAGAGTCATCTAATGTTTACACTTCGTTTATTGCAAATTCTGTTTCATTTAGAATTTATCTCCTACTCTGTTAGTAGCTTGCTAGACCCTACAGCAGCCTAATGTATGTAATTAAAGTTAAATTTAAAGAGCAGGAAATAACAGTACGTTACATTCGATTGAAATGAAACTTGTTTTCACTCAGGCTGTGTCTGTCACAGCCAGGGGAGGGGTGACTAGGGCTGCATAATCAGCTCTTATCTCTCGTATGCTTATGCAGACCTACACAGTGTGATAAATAACCCATACATGTCTCGTTACTATTATAAAATTGTGCATGACTGTGTTATTACCCCAAGGGTAATGCACGTTGCTATGCCTGAGGATTGCTGTTGGGGTACCTCAAACGTGTCTGTTCTGATCTTATGCACTGCCAAAATAAATAAAAAATATTTAAAAGTGATTTTCCTCCCAAATTGCAGAGAATTGAGTGGTGCAACTTCAGAAGCATGATCTATACACAAAACTGCTTAATTAAAGCGAATGTTTTGATGACTGTGTCCCTTTACGGAAGCATTTTGGGCAAAATTATTTCTTCATCTCAAAGAAGTTATGGTGTTACGTCATAACGTGCTACCTTAAGGGGTTAAAACATTATAAAAGGTTTAACCCCAAAGTGCTCTAGACAGTACCTCTCTTCCATGCTCCTCTGCCTTATTCTCAGGTCCTGGCTTCAACTTAGAAGCGTTGTACTCGCCGCCAGTAAGAAATGGCAGTGTGAATTTAGAACCCAAATTTTATTATTTTTCTAAACTGAGCTTTGGTGAAAAAAAGGGAAGAGAAAGGAAAGTTGGTTAATAATGACTGATGAGACTGGGAAAATGGCTATTGTACATGGAGAGCATGAGACAAGGTTTATTAAAGGGCATTGCTAACTACAATAACCACATCATGGTAGTGTTGTGGTTATGGTACTAAAAATAATATCCCTGCAACCCTTCTTTAGAAAAAAAAAAAAGTTGCCCTATTCTTTGAACTGTAGCTCTTAAGATGCTCCGTGAGACTTTGGCTGAGGCTGGTGGGAGTTTAAATATACATCTAACGCCATGGTGAGGCTGTTTAATAACTCCAATCGTATCTAGTGGATACTTGCACCCGATAAGAATTTTAGTCTACAATAGCTATATATCTAGTGAACATTTTAATGGATGCATGAAAATAATACATAGAATTAAATAAAATTGTACATTTTAGGGAGTAGGGAATAATTTTGTAAAATTTTGCACTTCACTTTTCAGTACATAAAATATACGGTGCTAGAAATTGACCAAAAAACAAAACAGCAGAGGCTGGCAAATTGCATGTGTGCTGAGTGCATTAAGAAAAATGATCCCTGGATCTAGTATTTTCACAGCTCACCGGACACACATCACAACTATAATCGTTACATGGTGCAAAAAGCTTTTTTTTTTTTTTTTAATGGGGCAAAAGTAGTGACGTACTATTACCACAATGTCAGGAGAGAGGGGTGTTCCTTCTGATACCGGCTTCGAGTGGTTTGAGAACACTGTATGGTTGGTGTTTGAATTAACCTTTTTATTAAATATAGAAACCTTTTTGTGAGTGCCGGAACGGACGGCCATGCCCATCTCTACTCTATGCTGCAAGCCAAACCTTTGATGTCACTCCATCTCTCTGATAAGTATCTATTTAGCATTCGATGGTCACCAGTGCGCCCTTTGGTTTTTGCTGCAGCCTCCGGTGAAGGTGAGAGAGATTCCACACACCCCCCCCCCACCCCCCCCCACGCTTTTTAGGTATGTTTTTCGATTTTAGCCATTTAAAGAGATGTTGCTTTTTCAATCAAAATAAAGGTTTAAATACACAAAAAAGGTCCTACATGGAACTCTTTCAGGGACCACAAAAAAAAAAAATCATACAATTAAATACATGTAGGACCTTTTTGTGTATTTAAAGCCTTTATTTTGATTGAAAAAGCAACATCTCTAAACTACCCGGAGTCTGAGAGAGCTATCCCTAACGTGGTATCTATGAGAGGGAACAGAAGCATGAGAAGAGTTTCTTGGATAGCCCCCCAATAATCCAAGGGGAAGCACCCAAAGGCAATTTTATCACCATCTATTTTGTGGGTGCATTTTTTAGCTGCACAGTGTTAGTTTTATTACACGGTTATCTTAATTTTCTCTTGTAGATCAGGCAGCTGTATTTCCATTGTATTGTATATTATAACAGTATAACTAGCTGGTTGAAATATTGCAGGTTTTTTTAAAAAGGGCTGTCACCTCAAACATCCATTTCTCCTATAGTTTCCTATCACCTGAATCTGTTCTTTTCGATTTCTCTTTAAAACAAAGTAGGGACTGCCTTTTTTTTATATATTTTTCCTATGCTTGACAAGGGGTGGCGTGTGAGTCAAGCTCTACTATTGTGACAAAGCAAGTGAAGCTAGTCTTAAGTGCCACGCTTAGTATAGAAAAAAAATACATAAGAAAAATCCCCAACTTGGTCTTATGTTTTAAAGAGAAATAGATCAGAAATGAAGAAAAGCAGATTCTGTGAGGAAGATGAGGAATGTTTGAGGTGACAGAGCCACATTAATGTTGAATTTTTATTTTATACAAAATGTAAATTTCTTCAGCATTTTCCATCTAAAGTACTAGAATGTTATACAGGATGGACATTTCTAAGGTCTGTTGGTTTTATTAAAATAACATTGCATCATACAGTTAGCAAACCCACTAGTTAATTGTTAAAACGTTAATGCTCTCCCCTATCACAGAGTGATGCTATAAGGGAAAATATAACTAATGCCTTTGTTTTTCCACTAAAGGGGAACTATTGTTATTTGACCTCGCAAAAAGCTCCCAGAAGCCTTCACTGTGCATAAAGCAGACAGATAATGGAAGACCCATTTACTGCCTTGAGTTCAATCGTTCACAGAAAAAGCTGCTGGCAGCTGGCGACGCAAATGGCTTCATAAAGATATGGCAGTTAAGCTCTGATTTTACAGAACAAGGAGCCAGAGAGCTGGTAATACTTGATGGCATAGCCAGCGAGATCACAGACTAACTGCTGGGATAAAAGACTATTGCTGCTTATCTTGTTCATATTTCTTATTAATTATCAGACTGGAAGGGGGAAATAAACTAGTAAAATAAAGTTGTTTTAAATTTAATTAGTTCATGAATGCTATTGCCCTATGGATATTAGAGTGGTCAATTACAGCAGTGATAAAAACCAATTCACTGTCATTGTTGTATTTGTCATTAAAGAAAGACACCCCGTTGAATAATTAGCGTTTATTAAAGCACACTGCTTCTATTGCTTTGTCATTTGGCTAACACATTGAAGGTACAGTGCAGATTTGGGGTAGAGCAAGAGACACATGCACGGCCAGATTCAGCAGATATAAGTCAAAGCCAGGCTTTAAATCGGCTACATCAGTTCACAAATAGTGAGCGCGTGAATTCAACATAATCGTATGCAGAGGGCAGTTCACGGCCCTTACTGTCCATATAAGGTTTCATGTGTGAGATGCAGTAGTCTGCCTGTTCACGTGACAGGTTCTGAAAAACAAAGACATAGTAGAAATTAAGTGAATGTAAATATATATCTCTGTCAAATAAAAAAAATACAGGATTGTGTTCGCAGGAAATTTATTTTGTTCATAAAACGTGCAATTCTCAGGTCAATTCCAGGCTTAAAGGGACACTATAGTCACCCAGACCACTTCAGCTCAATTAAGTGGTCTGTGTGTCAGGTCCCTGTAGGGTTAACCCTGCCTGCTGTAAACAGTTTCAAAGAAACTGCTATGTTTACATTTGGGGTTAAGCCAGCCTCTAGTGGCTGTCTTCCGGACAGCCAATAGAGGCACATCTGCAACAGTGGAGGCATATGCCTCTATCACACAGAGCGTCCATAGGAACGCATTGAAAAATGCTTTCCTATGGACACTTTGTGTGCGGCACTGCCACGCATGCGCATTCCGCTCAGCTGACGGTGGTGGAAGAAGGTGAGTAACTGAAGGGGTTTTAACACCCTCAGCACCACGGGAGAGGGACCCTGAGGGTACCATAGTGTCAGGAAAACAGATTTGTCTTCCTGACACTATAGTGATCCTTTAATGAAACTACGGTTTGAATCCCTGTCAGGCCAACTTACCAGTAAGTGTCCTTGGATGAGACACCCAATGATATACATCTACCTTCCTCAGATTATAAGCTTGTTTGAGCAAGGCTTTCAAATATCCCCTTTCTAGAATTGTAAAGTGCTGTGGAATCTATTGGTGCCATTTAGTAAGTGCATTAACATGCATGGCTTGTGTGGTGGTAGAGGCGTATACATACCACCATGTATTTTCACTTAACCTTTTGCATCACAGCTGTTGCAGTTCATGTTTTCCCATGATGCTCAGGCACCATCTGAAACATGTCCAACAACTGCCGCTGTAGGCATTTCTAAGTTCTAGGCTAGAACACAAGAAATACAGAGCTAGCTTTGCTACTTTAATATAGTTAAGGTCTTATCTTTTTAAACTAGTCACAGTGGGCAAAACAAAAATTAAAGAGTCAGCCTTTTCCTTTGTGCAGAGCGGTTACATTCTACTCCGCACTGAATGGCGTACCTGGTACAGCTCTTCCTTTGTGACATATGGTTTCTGCTCAGTGCTGAGGGCCCGGAATGCGCTTTCAATCTCCTCGCTGGACTTGACATTTTCAGTCTCCCTGCTGATCATGAATGCCATGTATTCCTGTAGTGACACGTGCCCATCTCTGAAAGGAAATAAGAAAAGTAAAACCACTTAACAGCATAAAAAAAAAATCAAGACACAACTTACAAATATTCAGCCACACTCACAGAAGCCTAACTAGATTATATGCATTTGTTTCTCATTTATCTTAAACGTTGCATTGTGTATTCTACAGTATACACCAACAGACCCATAGTGCTTACTCATGGGGGCTGATAACATGCCAGTACTGCTTAGACTACAACATTACATTTGGAGAATTCTTGGAGGAAATAAAAAATTTTATTAAAAAGTTACAACCGTATATTAACTTAATGACTGATCAATCTAGTCAGGTGCAGAATATGGTCAGTCTTGGATAGAAAAGGTTCCCCCAAACACACACACTCAATTTACACTTACCTGTTGGGATCTACTGTATCCAGAATGGCTTCAAACTCTGGATCTGGTTCTCCTTCTTCTACCATTGGAAGGTCATATCCAAGGGACCGCAAGCAAGATTTGAACTCTTGGTGGTTGAGGCGACCAGACTTGTCCTTGTCAAAGTGTCTGAAGGAAATTGTAAAAATGTTATACAGCCATCACATTTCTGGTAAAGAAATATGCTCAAAATCCAACGGCCTACTGGTTTTAATCAAAATGTAGAACTACAACTCTTAAGATGCTTTTCATGCCTTTACTATGACAAAGCATTGTGGAAACCAGTTTTAAAACTGACTGTTTAATGAACACAATTTTGTAGTAATCTAGCTAGGACTATGCATCAAATTTCACATATGGCAAGCTATTCTAGAAGACCACACTTCCCCTCTGTTCCACAGGAATACATCCTTACAAAGAGCAATGCTTTTGTCCTTTGCAAAAAACACATACATTTTGGGGATATTTAAACTGACTTTTAATACTCACTTGAACATCATGCTGAATTCTTTAAGAGCTTCTTCTGTTACTCCAGTTGTGTTTCTAAAAAGAATGAAACGAGAGACCTGTAAGTCCAGCACAAAAAGTAGAAAATCTAGACACTTGTTTTTTTTAATTGGGAATGTACAATACGTCTAGAGCGGATATTTTGCATTTAGCTGGCGGACAACAATTCCTAGCGATCATTGCCCCGCGTATTCACTTGACGCAGCTCAGTAGAATGTTTAACCACTGAAGTGCGCTTCTAACCATAGATCACTTAACTACAAAGCTGGTTCCATATGTTATACATGAAAACTAGAGCGTCTAATTGCACAATATAACCATAGCACAGTTCAGCTCTACCTGCCACCACACGCTCACACCAGTTTTGGAAGTGTCATAATAGATCTAAAAGTACTTAAGCCGAGAAGCTCAACGTAGGACTTTTTTCTCCTCTTCAAAGCAATTTTAGCGGTTACCATTTAGATCACAGGGAACTTTTTCCCCTCAAAGATTAAAAGGCTTTTTAAAGTCTAGTATTAGACTGGTACTCTCACCCTACGCTAGAACCGAGGTGTCAAACAAACAAAGCAGAAAACTGCAAAATGTTTATTTCCTCATCAAGAAAATAAATCCTAAAACCTTGAGTACCCTGTTCGGAGCGGTGATCATTTACCTGGCCTGGATCTGCTGTTCGAGGTTATGCTGCATTCTCATTCCCAGCTGATCCAGTTGGTCCCACTGTTGCGCAAGCCCGACAGTACTATGTTCTGTGTATTTATTATCCAAAATCAAAGCCTCTTCCATTGCCGCCCCTAGGTCTTCAATCTTCTTTAGCTGACTCCTCATCGCCCGAATCTCTTGATGCTTTCTCTGTTAATGACAAAATCATTTTTAAAATGTAAGTAGTGTTTGCACGGGAATATGGAAGCTGGGATGAGAAGATTATGAAAAAACGTACACATAAAAAAAAAATTAAATAAACTAGGCTTCTTAAAATCTTGGCAAACAATTATGGATATTAATCTGCCAAGATAGGTGATTTTAAGGAGCCTAAAAAAAATAACAAAAAAAACTTTTTTTTGGGTGCGCGGTTTCCTAATCTGTGTTTTGCGACAGGACTGTGTCAGTCAGCAACTAGTGGAGTCATTTGTTTAATATAATCTATGCACCTTTGCTACCACAATGTCTAAATTGAATTTACGATCTTCCACGTCAAAAATATTTAAGATATGCTAAGACAGATACATTTTAAGTCAGTACCTAAGATGTGAATAGTATGTTATTTGTCGCTAAAGTACACAAAACCTGCAGGACTGTTCAGTATGGATATAATCAGGAGAACACTGATTTCAAAGTCCCACTAACCTTTGTAGCTTCCAGCTGAGATTCTAATGTTCCCGATTCTTCAACCATACATGACCTACGGATACAGATTACAGTCACTAGGTGAACATGAAGGCAGAAATCTGTATGCAGGAGGCTGCAAATTAACACAACGCAGCCACAATGCTCTGTACTTTCTTCAGGACTCTCAGTGACTACACGTCGTGTCCTAAATGGTCTTTACTTGCTGCATGTTAATTTCTAGCTCCAAGCCAAGCGCCACACTGCCGTTACACGCTAAAGCTGAATGTGTGACACTGGCCGTGAGCACAACTGTGCCTACCGGTCATTAGAGGGAAACATGAAATCAAAGACAGTCCCCATGCATTACATTCCTGTCCGGTATGGGAGATAGGGGAGAGGTCTCATGTCCCTGGTGGTATGATGAGGGAGCAGGAGGAGTTGTACCCTTGGCAGCCCTGTTTGCTCTGCTGTACTAGAGGGTGTCAAAATGACATCAGTGCTGGGACAAAGCATTACAGTGTGTGCAGAGATGGAACAGATCCTCTGCTCCCCCAGTCTAACATCAGGGAAACATATGGGTGTGGAGCTGTAGAGCTCTTCGTACTAGTGATCTGAACACCCTACAATCCCTGTCTGAATGCCAGCGTCTCCAAACAAGCCCTATTACTTTGGTAGACAGCTTTGCACACCTGTGTAACTAAGTATGGCGCAGGGGCTCAAACTCTGAGTGCGCTGCACCTTCTTTTGCACTAAAAAGACAAGACAGCCAAACTAGACACAGCAAATCATTCCTAATCTACAAGTGATCACAAACTGGTGTCTGTACAGAGGTATTGTGTGACAAGTGGGGGTTAGGAAGTCACCGCAGACTGTGTACACGTGAAAGACATTTGTTGTGCAGGTCTCCTTTCCCCTCCCAAGAGCAAGGAACGAATAACTGTTCATTCCTCACCCTTAGGGTCCTGCTCATGTATCAGCATGTTCCAGTAGTATGAATGAATATATCGCCAGCAGCGTAACAGGCCGGCAGTGCATTCATTGCAAAGCAATAAGGCTGCCAGGCCCCTCTGCAAGTACGGAACTGGAGGATGCATGCTTGATGGAAACAGCAGCAGGCCTAGGCAACAAGGCTCGGAAGTGTGGGTTAGTACGGAGGAAGCATCACAGAGTGCCACAGAAAACCAGTGGGAAAAGAAGATGAAAAAAACCTTCCAGACAGATCATCCCCAACTTCATACTGATACACACGTATGACTCTGCGATAGGCTATGCTATTTAAAGAAAAGAAACCCAGCTGTCAATTTCCCCTCTCACACTGAACACTGTCAAGAAGACAACAGAAAGACCAACCATCCATTCTACATGCGGCATTGGATACATTTATACACACCGGGGATAGCTAGACTCTAGTGGTTATGGTCTCTCTCTCATACCCTTAGCATTCAGGGCAATCCAATCAAACAATTCGTATTCTAAAATGGTTAGTCATTACGATTATAAGTCAAATGTTTCACCAAGGTTACAAGCAAAAATAGAGGAAGGGGAGAAAAAACAACAGATCAGATCTAGTAGGCGACCACTTTAAAGAGAAAGATATAGTGAACCAGGTCTTTGCCATTTCTTGTAAGGATTTCAATAACTGAATGCCTGCAGAGTCCTTTTGCTGCAGATTTCTTTTTGAACAACCAAGGTAAGCTGGACAGGCTTCGAAGAAGGCAGGCAAGATACTGTTTAGAGGTTTTGGTAAAAAGTTATCACATACATAATTTAACCCCCGTATGTAGAGTGGGGTGTCCCCCTACTGCTGAAAAGCCACATTACAAAAATGATTTGTGTGCTCAGTGATGTCACACACTACACCTCAGTCAGCCCATCCACACACAAATGTTTAAAAACACCAAAATACTAACCCATCCAGCAGGTAGGTCCTATGGATAGACACAAACGAAAGGTAGCAGCAAAGTGAGGGGGAAAAAAAAAAACAGAAATCGATTAAGCATCACGGATTTACAGTTAATCATTAAAAATTATTTTTTTTAAATTGGATGACTGGCAATTAAGGAACACAATTACAAAGTCAGTCTGAAATTACAACTGGACACACAGAGAAGAGCACAAATCATAGAAGGGAAGAGATGCCAGCAAATGGAACCATCAGTAACCTGGTCTCCTGGATCCACTGGTGGAATGCATTGGCATGTTGGGCAAATTCCTGTCGTAATTTATCATTCTCTTCCTGCCTCCTCTGTTCCTTTTGCAGTTCAAGCTCCCTTTCCTGGAAGAAAACCGAGAAATGTTGAGTATAAAGCCTAGAATTTTAGTTCCTGTTAAAAATCCATAGTGCGGTTACCTTTATAATCTTTTGTAAGTTCCGCCAAGTTTCCTCTAGGGCCTCCATTGTGAACCAGGTGTAAGGGTTGGAGGCCACACGGTAACCTTTGATCTGTCGATCCAATTCAGCTAGCTGGCTGAAGTCTGTCTGTGCAGAACTGAGGGAGTTGCGGAATGCGTCGTGTGCTTCGCGCAGAGCTTTGATTTCTTCCAAGGAATTGCAGCGTACGGGGTCAGTCAGATCTTCCTCGGCATTCTCAAACCAGCTGTTAAAGGCAGATGCTTTCTTGGCAAAAGTCAGGAACAAATCCTCAACCTGGAAACAAAGGAAAGAAGAATTTTTAGAATTTTAGGAAAGTCCTATGTCCCACAGAAGTGACCATGTCTACAAGTGAAAGCAGGGCTCACCTTTCTGTAGTGTTCCTGAGCCTCCAGCAGTTTCTTCTTGCGTGCAGCGGAGTTGTCTAGCAATTGGTTCCAGCGTTTCATCAAGGAGGCATGGCGGGATTCAATGGCCCTGGACTGCACATGCTTGGCGGCCAGTAGCTGGTCTTTCAGAGCAGTGATATTAGTAATGCCCTCTTGCTGGAATGCTTGAAGTCCAGCATCAAAGGTTTCCTGAAGAAGAGACACCAGGGATCAGCAAGTGACAGTCTAAAATCTCAGAGCTATAGTCCTTGTGGGTCTTTACACACCTGCTTAGTAAGAAGAGTCTGTACAGATGATAGATCTCTTCCATAGTCATCAGTCTTCAGGCTGTTTTCTTTCTCACCTAATGAAGACGTTCATTAAGATTGTTCAAACCGTGATCAAGCCGTAAAAAATACAAACTCTGATACCTCTTAGGTCACTATGTTTGCACACACCATTATGTTCTCTGCTGCTTTATTAAGAATTTTTTGATAGGTTAACTGTACATATTGTTGCCAAATAATTTATTAACACTCATCAAGAATCACCAGATGCCTATGGCCTTTCTGATGATTCTACAGATTTATAGAGGTTCTGGAGAATGTACCCCCAAGTGCAGACTGGTAAAACGTTTTCTGCATTCAATATAATGGGTCAGGGATAGAGGAATTGTTGGGCAAAAAAACAAAACAAAAAACAATAGCAACCCCAGGGCGTTTTTCCTGTAGATTCTCACTTCAGTATACATGTGAGAAAAACCACTGGCATAGTCAAACTGTGGTATTCAGACACAGACAACGGGAAGCCCAACGTGAATTACTGACAATACAGTGATTTCCATAAAAATAACCCACTTGTTGAATTATCACAATAAAAGGCAGAGCATATGCAACATTCATCACTGAATGAACCGATTATTCACTCCTGAAAAAGTTGTAATAAGCTAATAAGAGTCTGAAGGTTTGGGCTAAATCAACTCAGCAGGGAAAACACATTCTAACACAGTTAAGATATTTTTATTCTGCAACATCTAATTATCACTGTATGCCCCTCCCCCACGGCTATTCGAAAATGTCCTTTTTAGTAACCGGAAAATATTCTAGAAACTCACCAATCCATGATTCAACAACATCTGCTTTCCAATTGAACTGCAGGAATGCAGAATTCTCATCAAGCTTTGCCTTGCGTTGAGCTGCTGCCTTCTCGAGATCTCCCACCTTCCCTCGCAGTCCAGCCATCTTAGCGTTTATGTTGTCCTCGTGATGATTATTCTAGCAGGGACAAAAAGGAGACTTAGTACTGTAAATTCAGTTTGGCTTGTGGAGATCACTCAGCTGCTCGGTGTCCTACTACTCACCTTGTGAATAAGGTCTTCTCCATTAGCACAGACATCATGTACTCTGTCTTTATGGACAGTGAAGTCTGTCTCAAAAGCTTCATGTTTTTTCAGTAATCCCTGAGAACAGAAATATTACAGTTGGTGATAAGCTATATGACATAATAGGCTGAATTATGGTGGGATGAAACTTAAATGGTTACAACAATATGTTTGTCAAGTATTAAGCAAGTGGAATGTGAAAGAAAAGGTGGAAGCTTTACGAGTACATATCTACTTGGGGCAAAAGCTATTGTCATGTATAAAAAGTAGCAATATTTCTAGGGATGAAAATATAATTTGCCCCTTTATAAATCACCAGTAAGACCACTCCTTGAATATTACAGCACTAGAAAAAGTGCAAAAGCAGGCTTCAAAATTAATAAAGGCAATGGAACATTTTAGGTATGAAGAAAGGTGAGCAACTTTAAATCTCTTTAGTTTGGAAACACTGCACCTCAGAGGGGATATAATAGCATTATATGAATAAATTGATGGCATTATGCATATATAACAGAAACATACATGTCTGGAAATCTATTCATAAACAGGACTATACACATGACACATTTAGACTGAAAGAAATTAGATTTAGTCTAAGGCAAATTAATTCTTTTTTTACAGTTAGAAAAATAAGGATGTGGAATTATCTGCCTGAAGAGGTGGTTTTATCAGAGTCTATACAGTTCTTTAAACAGCAACTGGATGAATACTTGCACAGACATATTCAGGGATTTAGTTTTAATTAGTGGGGTAATGCTTCTTGATCCAAGGAGAGATCTGATCTGACTGCCATTCTGGGGTCAAAAAGGTATTTTTTTCTTTCCCTAGTTTGTTGCAAAATTGGAAAGCGCTTTAAACTTTAGTTCTTTGCCTTCTTTTGAAAGAACAGCAAAAACAGACGTAGGGAAAGGCTGAACTTGTCTCTTTTCTGCCTATGTAGCTATGTTTTATACACATTCCAGGCGAAGGACATAAGTTTGATTTGAAACTTTTTAACACCTTGGGCTATACTCACTTGGATGGCAGCCAAAGTGTCGCCATAATCTTCACTGGCAACAAGAGTCATCTTCTCGTTTATCCAGGCTTCTTCCTCTTCTACATTGGCAACAAACTGCTGATACTCCAGGGATTCTTCCAGCCTCTGACCACTGCAGAAACAACCAATGTTAAACATGGACTAGTGATTAAACCAGGATACCTCTCTGACTTAAACAGCAAACAGTTTGGTCTGAACTATGTTCCTTGCAGCATATTCATGTAGGAGACTAGGGCTTCACAGATTCAATAATTTGACCAAAACCTTGCCCTCTTGTCATGTGAGGTGGTGATAAGATTAGAGACAATAAGAGGCCCAAACAAGACTAGTGAATAAACCCTGTTGCATTGGTCATGGGATAACCAGCAGTAGCCTTTAAAGCAGCAGTTCTCCAGTTTTTCCACCGCTTAATTGCCACTGTAGTGAAAACCCGGTTTTCAAAGAAATGCATCTGTACAATAGAGCAAATGTGAAGTCAGACTTTAAGCTTTGCATGTGCTTACCGAGCCGCAGCTTGCTGCTTCAGTTCTTTCCAGTGCTCCACAAACTGAGCCAGGCGCTGCTGGATCTCATCTTTGCCTAGTGTGTTGTCATCCGCAAGTTTCTTACCAGTCTCCAGCACTCCCTGCAAAATCAGTGTATGAAAATGAACACAAGAGAAACCCTCATTACCTATACATGCACACATCTCACCTCTTAATGAAAGATTAAATATACACAAGTCCATTTACTGGGAACAGGGTTCTTTTTATTGGGAACAATTCTAGGACAAAGTTCTAAGAGTGACATGGTCAGCAACATTCCATTGGTTTCCATGGAGATTGCTTTAAAATGGCTATTTTACATGGTACAAGGCACACAGTACTACTACAAGAGTCTTTAAACTGTAGCATCCAGGGAAAGCCAATAATTACATTGAATAACCATTTCAGTATATTGAAGAGTCTCAGTTATCCAAAGAGCATTTTGTGGTTGTTGAGTTTGTCACATTATTTCTATGGATTCCCACATTGAAGGCAGTATAGATGTATATTTTATGTACTGTGTAGAAGACCCAAGGAAACATCAGTCACACCAAGTACAACATATACTGGTCACATGCTTACCTGGATGGCTGGCTCATGGGCTGCCAGCTCTGCTTCCAACCTCTTGTGCTTCTTCCTCAAATTCTGCACACCTGTCAGGTCTCTGCCGTAATCATCAGACCCGACCAGCAGTTTCTTCTCTCTGGGAAGTTGCACAAAAAAATAAATACAATAAAACGCTCAGCATTTGAGATTTACACAGAATAATCTAAAAAGTAAATTTTAGTTTTCCAGTTTCATTCCATTTGCACATACTTGATCCAGGACTCTTCATCATCGAGGTCCCTGAAGAACTGATGAAGCCGGTGGGACTCATTCAACCGGCTGCGGCGTGCAGATGCCATGCTCCTGATGCGCTGGAAGCGGTCATTAATAGCATCACGCTTGTCCTTTACTTGGGTTGTGTCAAAGGCACTGCTAGTCATTAGACTGTCTGCCTGTCCATTCAGATCCTTCAGACGGTCCTGGTTGGTAAAAAAAGGATCAACATTATTTCCTGCTAACTCGGGATAAATAAGTACAATATTGTTTATCACAATACTTGGTATAGTATTTCTCCACTTAATTTCAACCTTCACCCAAGGCACCCAGCAATCTACACCCTTGTACATATTTCCTCACCTCGTGTGCAGAGATATCAGCCTCCAACAACTGATGCTTCTTCAGCAAATTGTTGACAGATGCCAGATCCTTCCCATAATCCTCTGAAGCCAGGAGGGCCTCCACCTTATTACAAAAGACATACTCGTCACTATACTTTTTCATGCCACATGAGAAACCCCCGTCCACAAAGATTCTGCTTTAGAAAGATGCCAAGCAAACGATCGATATCCAGTACATCAAACCGTTTACATCTCTTACCTCTGACAACCAAAAATCAAAGTCCTTGATGCCAGTGTTGAAGTTTTGTTGCTTGTTTGCTTCCTTTAGTTTTTGACTTTTCTCTGCGGATTTATGCACCAGGAATTGCCACTGATCATCAAGTGCAGCAAGCCTTGCCTGAGGGGTGAAGAAACCCAAAAGATATATGGTATCACTAAGTGCCAGATACAATATATTAATTGATCCATAAATTCAGGAAATTGCTGCTTTGCCCAATCGCAGCTTACCTTTACAGCATCCTCACTCCCAGCACAAGCACCACGGTCAATAAGAGAGTTCCCCATGTCTTTGACACCGCGGATACGGTCAGCGTTGGCATGAAGCTCTGCCTCAAAAGCCTGGTGTTTCTGATGTTTGCTCTAAAAGGAGGTGAAGAAAACATGTCAAATTATAAATGCTCTGTGTAATGCTGAAATTCTCAACCCAGAATCCACTAGCCAGGACTAAATTTAAGGTGGGGTAAAGCACAATTGCTGGCTCTGGGAGAGCTGATAGATCTCAACATATTAAATATCAGGGAACTAGACTCTATAACCGAATTCTTTAAGTGAGGAATATACAGAGATGGCAGCGATCAGGGTCCTTATAACACCCTAAATGATGCATGGAAACATAAATTGCACAAGAGGCAGCTTTTTTTGGAAATCCAAACAGCCACGACACATGTTTTGCATGAAGAGTTATTTTAAATGTTTTTATTTTAATCCATTCACATAATCCTCTTGGCTCCGTAATGCATGCCCGTAATGGTTCAAGAGATCCAAATCTGTTTTGGACTTGGCCAGGGTAAAATTAAAAGCTAAACAAACCTCTGAGACATACTTATTATACTGCGATTTATACTCCTTTTATCTGTGTAAATTTTACAATCTTATTGACAGCAATTTCCTATGCCGGTTAACTTTTATGAGGTGGTGGAACCTCCAATATGGCTGTTAATAAGTTTGTACCATTCCATTTCCTAAATGTCAAAATAACCTGACACCAGGGTATTGAAATACTTTAATGGAGATGACCAAATACAAATGTAGTGCTATTGTACGGCCACCTAGCAGAGAATAAATAAGGCTAGCCTAATGGTTTGCTGTGAAGCGGCCAGATAACATTCACAGAACCTAATATTTCCACAGATGTTGGATTATCGTAAGCTTACTCTTAAGAATGGTTTAATAAACAACTAAAAACTGTATAGGATTGGGTTGCCTGCAATGTTTAAATTATCATCGGACATCATGCAAAACATGTCCTACTGAAATAACAAAACAACTACTGGCAACAAAAAAAGCTTGAACTGATGGGAACAAAAAATAAAATAAATAAAAATACAAAAGCTGGTAGATAATAGAATTAAAAACAAGACATGGATGGCTTGCTTCAAACAAACAATGTAACCAAAACAAATGACTGCACACGAAGGTGAGACACATACAGAAAACAATATCCTGCCCACTTACCAGGAGTTTGGAAAGCTATAAAACAGATTAAGAAGAGAAGGTTTTGAGTACTCTCATAACACTTTGACCTTGACAAGAAACATTATATGAACATCAGCTAATTATCACAGCAATTAGCCTTTGGATTGGGAATAAGACTTTCTACTTTGATGAGCAATTAACCACTTAATTTTGTGTATCAGTTTACCAGATAAAAGATCAAAAACCCCGTTTATCCCAGAGTAATCTACTAAAAAAAACGTGCTTTTGTAAAAAAGCTCTGTAAGCTCCCTGTCCTTCCATATAGTCAAGACAAATGAAATGGATAATGGCTACCAAGATAGAAGGTTGATTCAAAAAGAACTTTGTGATATTCAACTTTTACATGCCAGCTGGTTTTTAAACCACTACTCTTACAGCCAAGCCTTCAGATGCTAGATATAGACAGTTGTGGCTAATAAAATGGTTAAGTAATGACACAGAACCTTGGGATACCTTCACGTCAACAATTCCTGAGGAGCTACTAACTTTCCGGACGTTAAAAAACCCATTTAAATAGCTGTGCTATAAATCTGTGCCCAGACAGCTACTAGAGGTATTTCTGGGTCTTTAGGCGACTTTTGGTCAGCTAAATGACACTGGACATTCTCACGCTCTGCATGAGGACTTCCAGTGTCACCGGAAACCCCAGTACATATGTTCTCTGTCTTTCTGGATTTTTTTCTTCTTTTCCTCGATTCTAACCTGTAGTAAGATTACAATAACTATATGGCACACACCTGGATGTTTGTAGGATCCTTGTAGGACTCATCACTGGCGGTCTGTAATTTCTCACTGATCCAGGCTTCAATCTCATCAACATCTCTGCTGAACTGCTGCAGAGTCTGAGATTCTCCCAGCTTTGATCTCTTCTCAATCATCTGGGCCTTTAGGCGGCGCCATCTACATGAGACCATATAGTTAAGCAGAATGCGAGACAAGACCACCTGCCCTCCACAAAGTCCACTGCAGCCCAAACCTACCTGTCTAAGACCTCATTGCGTCGTGCAGAAATGTCTCCTTTGGCGTAATGGTCATTAGTTATCAGCTGGTCAGCAAAAGACTGCAAGGCAGCAATCTTCTCTTCCTGCAAAGAGAATGAGAACACATCAGATGATCATATGACCATAAAACTCCACTACAGATCGAAGATTGTATTGCTCAACTTGCAGGACCGTCAGGAGATGAAGGGAGTCTGAAGGAGACAGTCACTTGAGTAATTAAAAGTTAAGACTACACACAAGAGGACAGGGAACCTCACAGCGCACACAGTGACTCTTGTTTTACTTCTTGTGTGGTCAAATACAAACCTGAACGTTAATGGCCTTATCAAAATCTTCATGTTTCTTGATGAGGGCTTCCACGCTGTCCAGGGAATCCCCCTTGTCCTCGCTATTTAGGAATGCTTCACGTGCCGCCATCCAGTTCTCTGCCTGCTCGCAGTCTCTGTTAAAGAGCTGTAAAGAGGAGAGGATGAAATATAGCGAAGGAATCGAAGTAATTAGTCAAAAAGATACAACAGACAACCGCAAAACATTACCTGAAGTTCCAAGCATTGGTCCAGCATCATCCTACGTTGCGCCCAGGCTTTTTCCAAACTTTCCCGTTCTTGGTCCAAAATATCCAGCTTATCTTTTATCTCAGGGCTGGCATAGTGCCCACGAGCCAGGAGCTGCTGCCCCAAATGCTCAAAGGCTTGGAATGTACCAGCTCTGGCATCGATCTCTGTACGGTGCTCCTGAATGCGTAGGAAGAGAGGGAAAAAATTGAAAGAAAAAAAATATATATATGTTAATTCTCCCAAATTAAAATAAACTTGTCTAACAGATATAAAGCCCTCCAACCCACTACCCTCAATTTGCTGCTAAGGTTGGTTATATTTATTACAACTGAAAATTATATTTGTGAAAAGTTTTATTGTACCTTTTATACCCTTCTCTCCTTTCTAATAAAGCATAAATATATATTGTTTAAGTGTTCTACCTGCATACTGGTTTCCTACAAATTGTTAAGCTCCACTTTTTCTGAACATATTTAAGGCTCTTCTCACATCTTTACATATATTTCAATTAAGAACTGATGTGTAAATCCTCTCTTTGCATATGTCAGGCAGATCGAATCAGTCGTTCGATGGACGTTGAAGTCCTCTGGTGTTAAAACTAACAACATGCTAAGCGTTGTGGGACAAACCTGATGTCTCTCCAGCAGAGCTTCTGCTCCAGTCACATCTTTTGCGAGTTCATCTGATGACACCAAGCCCCGGATACCATTAATCCAGGACATAAGGTCCCTGGGAGGGGAAAAAAAACAAACAAACCAGATACTCAATATATATGTATATAAAAGCTTGCCTTGTCATACGTTTGCTGACAAAATGTGGCTGTATGGTATGTAGTAAGGTGTGAGCCATAAGATGTGCAATGTGGTCTGTATATATGTTTTCCAATATAGTTTTTATTAGGATTTTGTTTCATTGTTTACAAAAACTGAACAGTGGGTGATATGTAGTATCACAAGAATACAAAAAGTTGTGGATACAAGGCAACAATAGGTATAACATATAGCACGGTAACAAGTAACATGTACAAGGGTTCCCATACAGCTTTTAGTTGCATGGGGGAGTCTACACAGTTGCGGAGGTGTTTTATGCGCTCGTTCATTGAGCGTCCTATACAACATTTTCATGCTTATCGTGGGCTTCTATTCTGTGGGTTGTCACAGGTTGGGGGTGTCTGTCCGTTTGTCACACAGCTCTTATTGTTTGTTGTCGTATAAAGTTACCCAGGGGGCCCAGGTCGTGTGGAATCTTTGTGTTGTTTTTGCGTCAGGAGCGGTCATACGTTCGTACGTGTAGTATTGCTGTATTTTATCCCATAATTTGGCTTTGGTAGGACAGAGTGTGGATTTCCAGTTGCAGGCTATTAAATTTCGAGCTGCCAGGATGGTGATTGCACTTAGTTGTTTGTGTGCATATTTAAACGATGGGGGGAAGGTCTGTATATATGTTAAGAAATTAAAGCACTGGGCAGGGGAAGTGCAAGAAAACCTTGTTTGGGACACCAAAGATACCCATTCCCTTTCCTCACCATGCAAACTCCACAGAGATACGCTTACACAATGTATGTGTTCTGGGTTCCTGGTTACCAGTGTATTTATTTTCAAATAAATAAATGTTAAATATGAAGTGGTGAGAGGTCCTCTTTGATACATGCTTGATCATATCACTACTAAATGAAAATACAAGTTTAGTAAAACACTGATTTATCCACATATCAGCCAACTTGCATGTTTTTACCTGAAGTCACTCAGGAAGCGCTGTAGGTCATGAGAATCTTCCAGTTTCTTCTTACGTTGGTCGGCCCTTTTGCCGAGACTGCTCCAGGCCTGGTTGAGCTCTTTGCACTTCTCCTGGATGTCATCTGCAGATTCTGGATGTGATTGGATCAGACGCAAAGCAGTCTCTCCCAACGAGTTCACCTGAATGGAGAAATAAATACATTGTAGAACAGCTCACTCAAGACTTCTTTTACTCGAAGAAGACAACTGTTTGGATCCTGACCTTATCACCAAGAGCTGCCAGGTCACGTTCAAATCCCTCATGTTTTCGTTGCAGAGCCTGGACACTAGCCAAATCATGTCCATAGCTGTCTGTATTTAAAGCCTGGTTCTTCTCCTCAATCCATTCTTTAGTCTCATCAGCATCTCTGCACAAAAGGAAAAAAAGTGCTTTTAAAAAAATTTTTTTTTAAAGACTGGAGACCAGCAAATGACTTCACTAGGAACCGAATATACCTCAAAAACCATCTATTACGTTTTTATGAAGAAGAAAAAAATAAAGTTAATTTAAGCTAATAAATTCATGTGGCATTGAGTAGACCACGGTGTATCAGATCATTAAACATATGTGTTGACCTGGTGATTATAATAAAGTAAAGAGTACATGAACCTAGTGTGCTTGTAGATCACTAGTGATCTAGCAGATTGTATTATGGGAAAGATGATAAACTCCCAAAGAAAAAAAGTTTAGTAAGGAGAGTGCTTACAACTAATGCTCAAAAGGTAATACAGAGAACTTCTAACAACTCTTTATACCTGTGGAATCTCTGCACTTCATGGGCACTGCCCAGGAGTTGGCTTCTCTCTTCTGCCAACTGCTGCAGGGATCTCCAACGCTCATTCAGTTCCTGTAGCAGGTTAAGAAATTACAGGACAGTCATTAAGAAGATAGAACACCATTCCACTACAATTATAGAAATGTTTCCTTCCTGGGAAGATGCTTGGATAGACCAACAGAGGGCACTGTTTTATGTAAATAAGGTCTCACATGCAGAGAATCTAACTCCTCAGTATTGACTTATAGTAAAATCAGTGCAGCTTTGTAAATACTTCTGGTGTGGCTCAAACGAGCATCTTGATACGGGCTATCTATGGAGGAATTTCAATTAGAGATACGGAATGTGGATTATACAATTATCGTATTATAAATGCCAATATACCAAGTGAAACTTAGGATCCAGTTTATACCTTGATGGAGTTGAAGGTGGCCACAGCATGCACTGCAGTACGTACAGACTGAAAAGAAGAAACATAAAAAGGTACATACTTAGTCAAACAAGCATCTCTATAAACAACTGCTGATAAACCAAGAAGTGAAAATATTGGAACAACTTCGACAACAGCAGCAACGTGCAATAAATCACACTCTGGCACAGAGATGGCATTTATGGAAAATCCCAACTTGCCACATTACATTTGATATGTAGGACATTAAAAGAGAAGCTATTACATCAAACGGAAAACTTAATACTTTTATAGCTTGGCGGAGGTTTGTCATAAAGGCAATAGCTGGGAAACAGTTACATAAATGGATAAAAAAATATATATATAATTTTTTTTATTATTTACTATACTAGTATAGCCTGTGTGCATTATTTTGTAACACACATACATACACTGCTCGAAAAATTTAAGGGAACACAAAAATAACACATCCTAGATCTGAATGAATTAAATATTCTTCTGAAATACTTTGTTCTTTACATAGTTGAATGTGCGGACAACAAAATCACACAAAAATTAGAAAATGGAAATCAATCTTTTCAACCCATGGAGGTCTGGACTCCACGTCCCTGTATGACCTCCCTACAACGCCTGTGCATGCTCCTGATGAGGTGGCGGATGGTCTCCTGAGGGATCTCCTCCCAGACCTGGACTAAAGCATCTGCCAACTCCTGGACAGTCTGTGGTGCAACGTAACGTTGGTGGATGGAGCGAGACATGATGTCCCAGATGTGCTAAATTGGATTCAGGTCTGGGGAAAGGTCGGGCCAGTCCATAGCATCAATGCCTTCGTCTTGCAGGAACTGCTGACACACTCCAACCACATGAGGTCTAGCATTGTCTTGCATTAGGAGGAACCCAGGGCCAACCGCACCAGCATATGGTCTCACAAGAGGTCTGAGGATCTCACCTCGGTACCTAATGGCAGTGAGGCTACCTCTGGCGAGCACATGGAGGGCTGTGCGGCCCCCAAAAGAAATGCCACCCCACACCATTACTGACCACTGCCAAACCGGTCATGCTGGAGGATGTTCCAGGTAGCAGAACGTTCTCCATGGCATCTCCAGACTGTCACGTCTGTCACATGTGCTCAGTGTGAACCTGTTTTCATCTGTGAAGAGCACAGGGCGCCAGTGGCAAATTTGCCAATCTTGGTGTTCTCTGGCAAATGCCAAACGTCCTGCACAGTGTTGGGCTGCAAGCACAACCCCCACCTGTGGACATCGGGCCCTCATACCACCCTCATGGAGTCTGTTTCTGACGGTTTGTGGCCTGCTGGAGGTCATTTTGCAGGGCTCTGGCAGTGCTCCTCCTTGCACAAAGGCGGAGGTAGCGGTCCTGCTGCTGGGTTGTTGCCCTCCTACGGCCTCCTGATGTACTGGCCTGTCTCCTGGTAGCGCCTTCATGCTCTGGACACTACGTGGACAGACAGCAAACCTTCTTGCCACAGCTCGCATTGATGTTGATGTGCCATCCTGGATGAGCTGCACTACCTGAGCCATTTGTGTGGGTTGTAGACTTCGTCTCATGGTACCACTAGAGTGAAAGCACCGCCAGCGTTCAAAAGTGAACAAAACATCAGCCAGGAAGCATAGGAACTGAGAAGTGGTCACCACCTGCAGAACCACTCCTTTATTGGGGCTCTCTTGCTAATTGCCTATAATTTCCACCTGTTGTCTATCCCATTTGCACAACAGCATGTGAAATTGATTGCCACTCAGTGTTGCTTCCTAAGTGGACAGTTTGATTTCACAGAAGTGTGATTGACTTGGACTTACATTGTGTTGTTTAAGTGTTCCCTTTATATTTTTTTGAGCAGTGTATGTGTACACACACACAAACACACCTTTCCAGTGCATTTCCTGACTTAACCTTACTCCATGGGGGCAGCCAGGAATATTCTAGGTCAGGAATAGGCTACCTTCGGCACCCCAGTTGTTATTGACTACATCCCCCATAATGCTGGCAAAGCATCATAGGAGGTGTAGTCCAAAACATCTGCAGTGCCGAAGGTTGCCTATGCCTGCTCTAGGCATTTAGCCACTTCACCTCACTGAAGTGGCTTAGGTGTCTGGAGTCCTCTGACACCAAACTCTTAAACTGTTTTCAAATGACTTTAAACTAAATGAGGCTCCCAGTCATTGGGAGCCTGGCCCCTCTCTGCCGATTAGGAGGATACAGGACACGCAGAAAACATAACCGATACATCTGTGTGCATTACGATAAAGTACACAGTTGTAGAAGGATCACGAATAACGCAGAGAAAGCGGGGAGCATTGCATATTGCATTAGTGGATAAGTGGTGTTTCTCAGCTCAGAAGACTAATGATGGCTGCCCTCACAGCGCAGGAGTACGCTAGCAGACGCACTAACAAGTTATTAACTTATCTTCATTGCAAAATAAATGCACTCTGAGGCTTTATTGCATACGGCAGACTAACAAACTGTATCAAAAGATACAAGCTTACCTTCCATGGAGATGCAGATTTGGAATCCCCTTCATCCTGCAGAGTGAAGACAGACATTTTACATGAGGACACATAATTTAAAAGGTCTGACTAGTCTTCTACAATGAACATACTAAGGGAACATTCAGATCAAATACATTTTGTATCTTGCGGAATATTAACCCCTCCAAGAATTCTACAATAAGAATGATGGCATGCTTCCATCAAAAGGTAGCTTTAACAATAAATGAACTGTCCACTATATTTCCCAATAAACAAGCACTTCTTCCAGGACATATAATATGCTTCCCTGCCAGATACGGATTCCTATGCTGCAGGAGGACAACTTAAAGGCAATTCTTTTAGATTTATCCTTATAAGTGAATTGATTTTCTTATCTGCAACACATGTATTCTACATGCTACAGGGAAGCATGATTCAAGTCTAGCCCTTCAGCATGCAGAGGTGATATGAGAATGGGAAACCGTGAAGGATCTGATAATCCTAAAGAGGATTACTGACTTCTGCTGGATTAACGTACATACTGGAATGGATGGTCAGCCAGATTTGCTCAGGTACAAAGCAATTTAAAGTATTCTCACGTATGCATGTATTCTGGCATACACGTATGCATTGGAGCAGTGAGAATAGAGTTCCTCGCGTGAATGAGGAGCACGACACAAAATGATTATCTCTGAACGGTGGGACCTGGGTCCTAAATGGAGACAATCCCATTAAACCCAGGGCAGTTTAGCTTTGTCAATATTAAATGCAGCTCACACACAAACAAAAACACCCACAAGCCAGTTACAGACACTTACCCTTGGCATTCCATAGATTTCCTGAAAAGGAAAAGTAACAAATAGGTGAAAATCAGCCAATTTCTCTACCAGAAAGTCACATACAGCAAGGCATTGTCTACTTGGTGAACATGTTCTTCGGTTTTCTTAAATAAGACTGACAAAAAGAAATACATTTCTGGGACATACTTGCTGCTGTACGGCCTGTACTTCTTCTGTGATCAGTCCCTCGGATTCGAGGTCATCAGCAACTTTGTTGATATCTTTCAGACGAGATTCGTTTGCTTTTAGGTCCTTAAAAACAAGAAACGAAAAGACTTAAATTAACAGGACATGTAGTCTGGGGCCACTCAAACAAAAAGTACAAAACTAGAGTTTTCAACAAAGTAAAAAGTCTGGCTGATCCACTACAAGAAACGCCCAATGGCTTAATGCAGGCTTTCCAAAGTCTATATGGAGTGGAGGGACAGATACAGCAACTGCTATGGGGCCTGACCCAATAAGACTAGTATATAAACAACTAATAATTTAATATTTTATGTCCTTTGTATATATTCACTCAATCCCTGTCTAACTATTCCATCAATCCCTAACCAGACTCATTTTTCAGACAAATCTTACCTGGTCATACTCCCTTAAAGGGACACTCCAGGCACCCAGACCACTTCTGCCCATTGGAGTGGTCTGGGTGCCAACTCCCACTACTCTTAACCCTGCAACTGTAATTATTGCAGTTTTTTATAAACTGCAATAATTACATTGCAGGGTTAACTCCACCTCTAGTGGCTGTCTACTAGACAGCCACTAGAGGGCACTTCCTGATTCATAGCAAAGATTTTCTTTGCTAGAGCATCGCTGGACGTCCTCACGCTGAGTGAGGACCTCCAGCGTCGCTCAATTCCCCATAGGAAAGCATTGAAAATCTTTTTCAATGCTTTCCTATGGGGAGACCTAATGCGCGTGTGCGGCATTGCCGCGCATGCGCATTAGGTTTCCTCAGCCGGCGGGCGGGATCAGTCTCGCCCAACGGCTGACGTGATAACTGGGAGGAGCGACACCGACCCGAAACCACCGCCGAGGGACATCAGTGGGGTCTCAGGTAAGTGACCTGAAGGGGTTTTCACACCTTCAGCTACCTGGGATGGGAGGTTTGAGGGAGAGGGTACCTGCAGTGCCAGGAAAACTGATTGTTTTCCTGGCACTGGAGTTTCCCTTTAAACCTTCCACTTAATTCAATCACAAACCTTTGCTCTCCACATCTTGACGATCCTTCACATTCTTATTGTAACCAATCTAGACATCTGAACTATCTTCCCCATTCCATACTCTAGCATGCACCTAGTGGTAGGAGTGTTAGAGCAGTGATATGGTCTGTCATAGCTCACTGCTCCTGGCAGTGAGAGGCTGATAGTGAGCAGAGCACAGAGTACAGTTCAAATTATAATCGACTTTCTCACCTTCTGGAAATCATCAAACTTTTTCTGTAGCACCTCCACCTGCTCAAGGTCAGCCCCCACTTCTTCATTCGTGAGGGCAGATTCCTTTTCATTGATCCATTGCTGCAGCTCATTTGCCTCTCGGAACAACATGAACTTCTTGCAGCTTTTCTCTAGCATATCCTTGCGTTTCTCTCCCATTTCCAAAATGTTGTGGTACCTGTGGAAATTGAAAGAAGCTCAGCAACCAAAACACAAAGAGGAATGTTTTGTTTACAGTACGAGTTCTAGGTTAAAGGGAATCTACCTCTGACAATGATCACATTTTGATGGCCCTATGAAGTCGATATGCCCCATTAAGGAATCACTTTACATACAATTACACTACTGGAATTGTGTTCTACAGCTGGAATGTTTAGGGGTGCCTCTCAAATATTGCAATATCACAGTGTAATATGGTTATGTGGTTCATTTTACCTTCAGTCCAAAGCCAATTCACACAGTGATGACATGTATTGGCAGTTTCTGATCACAGAAACAGTATCTGTGAGAGGAGCTGCAGACTGTCACTCACTGGCAATGGGACTCCCCAGGACTGGTACTTTACACCACGTCACATGTCTTGCACACCCAGACTATGTGAGCTATCAAAGCGGTTTTAAGAGAAGTAGGGAAAGAAGATTGTAGTAAAATATAATATGAAGTGTGATGTATGGGATACACTTGCAATGATGGGGTAGGTCTGCAACAGGATTTGATTCAGTGTGAAGATGTCCAACAGAAAAACAAAAATAGACCAAGATAGATCCCATTTAACCTAGATCTCATCAACGTACTGTATATGAAACAATCTACAAGCAATCAGGGCAAACCCAAAACTTAGTGACCACAATGCCCCTTCCAGAAATTAAACTGGCACATGAAGCTGGAACCCACACGAACACCATTACGAAGCCAAGAAACGTTCGACAAAGCACGAAAAAACGTTATATGCAAACACTTGTGACTCCTAAGGTGTTCAGCAGAAAGGAGGTACACCGCTATTCCTATATAGCAGTCACTTTAAAGTTGAGTATAGAAAATGAGGTTCAAAAGCAGCTAGAGAATGGAGGTTCAATAGCCATGATCTAAATGGATATAAATAGCTACAAACATTTGTTTGTACTTATGTAAAATATGTTCATCAAGATTAGACCAGCGTGCTGCCAATTGGCACATTGCTGCACATTACAGCTATCTTTAAGAAGTGCAGGAACAAAACAGTGATCAGTTATGTACAAAGCATCACAGGTTTTAGAAAAATGCCATCTAGAAGCATGCTTTAAAAAAATTTAGTAAAAATTTAAAGCAGGATTTTTAATAGTATTCCATGTTCCAAACCAGGAAACCAAATTTCAGGGCAATCTAATTAGGAGATATGCAGGCACACTAGGCATATCTGAAATGTTCACAGTATATGAAGACCATAAGTAAAACATATTGTGTTAAAATAAGAAGCACACCACAACTAGCATTTTGTTTAAGAATGAATATTTAAAAAAAGGCCACTTTCCCAACATAATCCGTAAATTACACCCTACTCCTCTCCGTCACCCACATCTCCACCAAGGACAGCTAGAATCGGAATGCAAGACACAAGAGGTGGTTCATAGCGAACGATCTACTCACAGTTCTTCAACCTGATTCATACGTAGAGAAACACTGCCAGCTTCCTTAGATAGGAGAGTCCTGTGCAGACAAGAGGGAGCACAGCAAAAAACAGGCATGCAGATAATTAGTGTGATTAACACAGGGGGAAAGGGTGCTCCACTCACAGGCTGTATTAGGAAGGGGAGCAGTGATGGAGATTAATCAATTTATTTAAGATGGTAAATCAACAATAAAATATTGCACTTTAAGTGCTAAGGGGGTAAGGCATGGTCTTAGGGACAGACTCCTTGGCCCTCGTGGGGTGACATGCCCAGCAATGTGGATCAGTCAGAATTTGGACATGCAGATTTATTTAATTTGGAAAATAATTTGGACATGCAGACTGTTAAGTTCCTAAAGAACTGCTTTACATTAAGCAATTGAAGAAAAAAAGAAGGGTAACAAATTGTGTTAACATTTTTATTTTAAATTTATTTAAACAGACTGACCGGCTCTCTTCCAAGTGACAAAACGTGAAGCCATGACAAGAAAAATACATATAAATCTAACAATTGATCAAGAAGAAGGGATCAGGTACACATTAGTAAGTATGAGGATGGTTGGAGTGCTATACAACTAGACATGTCATGGCAGGTTAGCACTAATCTTGCACAGTCTGGAATATACTTACAGAATGTTAACACAAGATACGTACATTCTTTCTATGCAATAATGATTAATGTAAGGCAGTTTTAAGAGGGCATGGATCATATAGGGTAGGTTAGATTATCAGTGTGACAAAGACTCCTTGATTTAGGAAGGAAGGCGTTTGTGATTTAATAGTTGTAAATTTTTCCTCATGCAGGAATTTAAGAAATTGGAGGTGTGCTCAGGTTAGAAACATAGAAATGTGCAGAGGTTTTCAGTGGAAGCACAACATGTGCATAAAAGGTGCTCCTCCGGATCTCTGTTCTACTGTCTATTGCCTCTTCTTCTCTAGGAGGACCTAAAAGGTAAATTACAGGTGTACGGTCTTATTATAAGAGGTGGGCTCTTACTGTCCATCGATCTGCTCCTGCCTCAATGCAATGCTTCCTTGTTCCTCCAGAAGGTTCTCACGGGAAGCAGATTGTGCTGGGTCCAGCTTCTTCACATACGCAGCGGGCACAAAGCCCTGGCGATCATTCACTTCCACCTTCCACCAATCCTGAAGAACAAACACGCTGTCACTACTAGTAACAACTAGAGATGCTTTCCTAGGGTAGACAGTCACATCACATTCTTACTTTATTAGTACTGTTCAGGAGGGTCAGAATGTCCCCTTTCTTCATGGTCACTTCTCTTGGGCTCTTTTCTTGGTAATCATACAAAGCTAGTACCAGCTCCTTCCCAGTTTCATCATCAGTTGGGGCAACTTGTTGCTAACGAGAGGATTAACAAAAAATTAAAATGATTGTATATACACCGCCTTTAAAAAAAAATCTGTTCCTATGATATTTCTACCTACCCTACAGGACTGTGCCTGCTCTCGTAGAGACTGGATGCTGCTACCATACGCATGAAGATCAGACATAAGGGCTTCATGTTTCTTCAAGAGGGCCTAGAAGCAGAGAATGAACAGTCAGGAATGCTGTGGCACATGTGTGCTCCTAGACTTCACCAAACAATAGGCACAAGAGTCGTACCTCTGCTGAGTCTTCATCTTTGCCATAGTCCGTGCTCCCAACAATGGGTTCTTTTTCCCTCATCCAGGATTCTGCCTCATTGGCATCTGCGAAATACTGCTGAGCTTGCAGGGAGTCTTCAAGGTCCTGACGGCGTTGGGATGCCTTGTTCCTCAGAGACTGCCATTTATCATTGAGCTCCTTTAGCTTCACCTTAACCTCCTCAGCAGCAAAGTGACCTGAAGAAGACAATAGATTTACTGGAGTGGCTAAGAGAAGTCAGCATTAGTTCACCACAAATCCTCACAATCAAGAAAAACCCTGAATCTTTGAGCTACAGGTGCTGCTATCTGTGCAAATCATGCTTTGTACATAATAAAATAGAAAATAAATAAAAAATACCAAATACGTTTTTTGGAATATGAAATTAACTTAATTTATTTGGGGTCTCAAGATCCGAGACGTAGTATAGTACAAACAATGAAACCAATGGCTACTTCCACAATAGTTGTACTTTTTAACAACCCCTGCACGTTCTGTGTTTACACACGTAACAGGAGGTGAAATGGTATCTGCAAACATACAGTTTAACCCAGGGCTGTCCAACCTGCGGCCCCCCAGATGTTGCTGAACTACAACTCCCATGATTCCCTGGCTGTTTCATTGAAAGAATCATGGGAGTTGTAGTTCGGCATCATCTGGGGGGGCCACAGGTTGGACAGGCCTGGTTTAACCCCTTAAGGACCAAACTTCTGGAATAAAAGGGAATCGTGACATGTCACATGTCATGTGTCCTTAAGGGGTAAATATGATGATCCAGTGCTCAATAGAGGGTGATCCTCAGACACCCTCCAGATTTGTTTGGCAGAATTTGAGACAACTTTTTTTTTTTACATGTAATGCCACGTTTGCACAGGGCAGGTACTGGAGATTATCTGCAGACAGATCTTAGGCAAAATTTCTCTTAACTGGTTTCAGTCCACCCTTTGAGCCATATTCATTAACTTTTCCCTGCCCCTTAAGAACTTTGTTCAGGCTGATAATTTCCCTGAAGAAACCTGAAAATCCAATTTTTTTTTTACCCCATCTTACCTTCGCTGACCATAGAGTTCCCCTTCTGCGTTACTGCTTTGATCCGTGGCTCATGTCCAGCTATTTCAGCCTGAAGGGCCTGGTGTTTCTTTAGGAGGTTCTGCACGCCAATCAAATCCTTGCCTGGAACACAAACCATTCAAAGTTATGAAAATCTCCATTTCATCATAAAGGAAGGAAAACTCAATCATGAGGTCAGGAGTACATATTGGACAACATTTGATCAAATTATTAAGTTTGATAATGGATCTTTTAAAGATATCCCTGTCCTGTCATCATTCAATGAACCACAGATATCTTGGCATCTTGGCCCTTATTAAGCCTACCTCTGTTGGTAGAGGCAGCAATAGGTTCCTTCTCTCGTATCCATGTCTCCTCATCTTCGATGTCTCTGAAAAGCTGCTGGAGACGCAGAGAATCAGACAACTTCTGCTTCCGGGCAACCATGGGTTCCTTCAGAGCTTCATATCTGCCAACAAGGGCCTCCTGTTTCTTCTTGATGTTATCAGCATCAAAGTGGCCAGCATCTTGGAACTGTCTGGCCTGGATAGTAATACCATCAATACGGTCCTGCCAAAAGATAACAGAAATGGAGATTTCACTATACTAAGCATCTGAGAAAATGTTACTTTTAAAACACTGCTATAACTAAAGGAGGTTCTTATATGGTGTTATATATATATATATAATAAAAAGAATGAGGCTAGTACCTGGTGAGCTGCAATGTCGGCTTCCAGTAAAGCGTGTTTCTTCTGAAGGTTCTGCACGTTGGTTAGATCTTTTCCATAGTCATCTGAAGCCAGGTGGCCCTCAACTTCATAAAGCCACAGCTCAATATCCTCCACATTGCGGTTAAACTGCTGCTGCTGGTTTGCTTCACGCAGTTTAATACCTAAATATCAACAGGAGAGTCATTAAACATAATGAACCTTCACATGCTCCAGTTTATTAGATCAGAGTCTGTGCAGGACTGGCTACACCAGTCCCACTGGAGTGCAAAGTTTCAGGATGTTTTTGCACAAAGAACGTAGATGGATTACAGTACCAATGAATACATTTTCTCAAAACGTATACTATTTTGGTTTCTTAAAGGAAGTGTTTAGAAAAGCCCAGCGTTCTGCTCACCCTTCAGTTCTGTGGCCTCCAGCAGCCTCTTCCATAGGGTGATCACCTCATTCATACGAGCAGCCACTTCATCAGATGCGTAATGGTTAACATCAATTAGTTTCTGCCCAGAATTCTCCAGTGCATCAATGCGGCTTTGGTTGGCTGACAGTTCTGCCTCAAATGCCTGGTGCTTCTGTACCTTACCCTGAAGATTTGAGGGATCCTTGAGGAGAATTAAAAAAAAATAATACCAGTTAAGCATCATAAACTGAACAATTTCATATTAACTTGAAAATACCAGCAGCAATTTATCAGAGACAAGAGGGCAAAAAACACTATTCTGCAGTACAACTTCAAATGGAGCAATGATCAGGAGAATTCTACAGGTTTCCATGGCGACTACTCCACTTTTATACTTAACTCATTGAGAAGTCTCTGTGCTGAGACATCAAGCATGTGCATACTATTGCCGCTTCTCAATAAGCTAGTTTGAGGGCACTAGGGAGGTGTTCCTACCTAACTTATAAAAGTGCTCACTTTTGAATGCGTCCAGAAGCATAAAGGAAGCTGGAGTGTTCCTTTAATTACCAGAACCCCCCCCCCCCACCCCGAAAATATAAAATTAACAATTTCGTATATTTATGTTAGGGGAGTGGATTAAATTACTGCAAACTTGTGTAGATTAATTTTATATCCAGATTAGGCTAACAAGACATTTAAGTTTGCCTACAATAACATGTAAAAGAGCTTCTGGAATTATAGCAAGGATTTAAAGGGTTTCTGTCCGATGTGTTTTCTTCATTCTATAGTAACTAAAGAATTGCTAATACCTTCTTGTTTTCATTAAAGCTAAATATATTGCGATTTAAAGGGACACTCCAGGCATCCAGACCACTTCTGCCCATTGGAGTGGTCTGGGTGCCAACTCCCACCACCCTAAACCTTGCAAGTGTAATTTATAAAAACTGCAATAATTACCTTGTTCTCAGAACGTGAACAATTTTAAAAGATGCTGGACGTCCTTACGCTAAGCATGAGGACCTCCAGCATCGCCAAAATCCCCATAGGAATGCATTGAATAATGCTTTCTTATGGGAAATCTAATGCGCGCACATGTCCATTGCCGCGCATGTGCATTAGGTCTCCCCCCCTCCAACGTCAGGAGAAGTATGGGCGGAGCCTGACAGAGCCAAGGTACATCAGCGTTTGATTCAGGTAAGTCACTAAAGGGGTTTTAACCCCTTCAGGAACATGGGATGGGGGGTGGGAGGGAGAGGGGCACTGCAGGGTTCTGCAGTGCAAGAAAAATGGATATGTTTTCCCGGCACTGGAGAGTCCCTTTAATCTGTACTTTAAGCATAGTAAGAAACCAGGAAGCAGTTAAATTATTTTCTGCTCTCTGCTGGACAGAATTGTGGAAGCCAATCTGCTTACACGTAGGAATAGAATGACAATTTCATGTGATACATCCATTTCAAGCATATTGATAATAGCACGTTTATGATAATGACAAGAGGACGATACTAATTCAAGCCATCTGGATTTAACTGCTCAGAGGATTGTTCACCTTGTATGCCTCATCTGTAGCGGTCTTCATTTTCTCATTAATCCAGCTCTTCAGCTCATCTGAATCTCTGAAAAATTGCTGCAGGTGAAAAGAGTCTGCCAATTGGGTGCGGCGATACAGAGCGCGCTCATGCAGAGCATTACGACGGCTCAACAGCTGAAAGGTAAATCAGAATAAAAAGCGATTAGCTCCTTAATCTGCCAATAAACATAACAAAACAAATTGTAGATTTTAAGAGCCAGGTTTCATCCCTGGATGTTATAGACAAATATACACACAGATCAGAAGAGAAGCACAGAGAGACACTTACTGCATCTCTGCGAGTGGCCACATCTTCCATGGCATAGTGATTGTTCTGAATCAGCTTTGTAGCAAACTCATCCAGGGCCTACAAGAATATCAAATGATTAAATACTGGACTTATAACAAATCTCACAGAGACAGAGAAAGCAACATGAGTGAGTTTGTAATGGTCGCATTGTCTTACTGTGATCTTTTCTTCCTGGGCGCTAAGAGATTTTTCAAAGTCTTCATGTTTCTTCAGAAGAGCTTCCACGCTGTCCAAAGAATCTCCCAAATCTTCATTCAGCAGGAAGGCCTGAAGTACAAAGAGGTCAGTCAGGTATTTTGTAAACTTCCAACCACTGAAAACCCAACCTACATCACGCATCCAATTTCCACCTCTCACCTCTTGTTTGCTCATCCAGTTGTCCACCTGCTCGGTGTCTCTGTAGAAAAGTTGCAGGTCCATGCACTGCTCATACTGCTGCCTCCGCAGCTCCCACAGTTCTAGAAGGGCAGTTCTCTCTTCAGAGAGGATGGTGAGCTAAGAGAAATATAGGTTACATTAAACAAAAGTACAAGGCAACCATGAAGGGCAAATATGGCCAAAGAAGGAATATCGGAACAAGAAATTCTTTACTAGGGAGTTTCCCCAAACACAAAATACAGTAGATTCCCAGAGCACTGATGTTACGTACCTTCTCCCGGACTTCGTCAGATGCGTAGTGTCCAGCATTCAGCAAAGCATTGCCTGCCTCATCGGCAGATTTGAAACTATCTTCGTGAGCATCAATCTCCCCCTACAAAGTTGACCAAAAAAACAGATGTGTCAGAGGAAGTTAGCCTAACAAGCGTAGAGAATTCTCTTGGTGCTGAAGATTATTTTTAAAAAACAACAACAAAAAACAATAGACTTGAGCATTTGACACCCTGGAGTACAACATAAAAACACATTTCACAAAATGCTCTATAGACAATATCAAGGGCCATATTTAAGCGTTCTTAATGGCACTTCTTTCTGGTGTTTCAGGGTGGTACAAATTAAATGTTCTACAAAACTTTTGCTATTTGGTCAACCAAGGATCAGCCACATGTCCTTTAACAAAAGCAACCCCAGATTCACCCCAGTTAAGCTTTCACACTAATGGTTGGGGTTTGTTTTTACCTTGTGCTCCTGGTGTCTGTCCAGCAAAGCCTCTGCACCAGCCACATCATTGGCAAGCTCGTCGGCATTTATGAGCGCTTTCATTTCTGTCACCCAGCTGGTCAAGTCTCTGAAGTCTGCCAAGAATCTCTGTAACCTAAGAGGAGCACATGTCAAGTATGAGGACCGGCAGCCAAAACTTAATGGTCGAAGGACAAAGATTCCACACACCGAGGAAGAGTTGCATAAATAACGTTCTATTTACAACTAAGCTGTAAACTCTCAGAGCATGCATGCATAGTGCCTAAAAGTCAATAAAAAGGGAAAGCCGGTGTAATGCCAGGATAGGACAGCGGTGAAAGTAAATTTGTAATCAAGGAATGTAAAATAGCAGGAAATGTATTCCTTCTAGAAATCTTACAATTCCTATGCAATAACTGGATCTTTTATTTTTGTATTTCATTTAGTCCTCACACACTTTTTTTTTTTTTAATTTGTTTTAGCTTTCATTTAATAAATATATACAGTTTTTTTTTTTTTATATTACACAATTAAAGACTTTACTGAGATTAAGCAAATCCCATTTGTTAAGCGATCGGTGAACATCAATGGAATGTTCCTTCTGATCGCACTATTGGAACTCTTGTCCCAGAACTGCTCTGTATACAGTAACCTCTATAAAATGTATTAACCAGATTACCCGTACAATGGCAATGGCGTTTAAGGCAAAGCCGGACGATACTCGACAGTGCACATGGCCACAGTTTATTAATGCAACTGTTGAGACAGTTTTTCTCCCCATACATAAGATTTAGTTAGGAAGTCCTTACTTGTAGGAGTCGTTGAGGCGTGTGTGACGTTCTGCTGCTATGGTGCGGATCTGATCCCAGTTGGCAATCAGCTCCTCTCCTTTAGCCTGAATCTGGACAGCATTTAGGGGGTGTGACTGCTGTAGACGGTCAGACTCTGTGCACAACGCCTTCACCTGTACACAAAAACGAAAAAAAAAAAAAAAGATCAAAGTTTCAACACATCACAACTGGAGCACGTTTCCTCTTGGCACCAACAAAAAACAATTTGCTACCTTCTCTTCCAGTGCAGCCAGATCACGTTCCAGACCCTCATGTTTTCGAAGGAGGGCTTGTACACTTGCCAAATCTCTTCCAAAATCATCAGAAGCCATCAGCTGCTCCTTCTCTCTAATCCATCCAATGGTTTCATCTACATCTCTAAAAACAAAACATAAAGAAACAAGTTAAATATTAGTAGTTTCTACAGCCTACATGCACGCTAATTGCCTAATCACTCTTCAACATACAGGAACCAATGCTAGTCATCCCATTCTTTCCCTGGATATGCTGAGTAGTAGTTTAAAGGGATATGTGGTTAAGAACTTCAATTCCATTAATCAGAAAACGGAAATCTAGCTTGTAAATTACTCAATAAAAAAACAAAACAAATTATAACAAATACACAACTGCTGTAAAGTAACAATTTTCTCATTAGCAGTACAACAATGTTACAAGGCATTACATGCTACTATGAAGTACAGGAAGCAAATCAGATATGGGCATGATACCTGTTAAATCTCTGAACCTCAGCAGCTCCAAAAAGCTTGCCCTGTCTCTGAAGAGCCAGTCCCTTAAGACGCTGCCAGGCTGTATTTACTTCGTCTTGTTTGGTCTTTATTAACTCCAATTCAGGATGTTCTTCCTTTAATGGGACATAGAACAGTTATGTCTCAGCAATATGGCAGGATTAACATTTAAGGTATACTGCAGACCTCTAAAGGAGTGCTTTTTTACCTGGGTAAGCTTGCTGGCAAATTGGTTGACCTCGTTCACCCTTTCTTCATGGGCTGCCAAGTCGGTCTGAAACTCCTCAAATTTCTTCTGTAGAACTTCCACATGCTCCAGATCCTGTCCCAGCTCTTCAGATGTCACAATTGCCTCCTGATTGAGATGACAAGAGACGTTTAATGCATATAAGTCAACTAACACATTACATGCAGTATTTAAGGTCAGTCCACAGAAAACGCAAAAGGATTTATTTTCCCACGGTACAAAAATGTAAATCCGTGGTCTTTGCTGTTAAGAGCTAAATGTGTACAAAAAGATATTGAAGTGTAAATTAACTTATTTGATGTCTCAATTAGTTTTTAGTTGTTTTTTTTTTTGCCTTCTTGCAATATTGGAAGACAGGGCCAAACTTGAAGCATGTGACATCCACAGTGACAAGCTAGATTGTGATCACACAACAAGATGAGTGACCCAACCAACACTGAGTGGATTAGCCTAGGAATTCTTCTCTGTATTGAAGCTGTAAATCCCAACATACCTTGTCATTGATCCAGTCCATAACATCTTCACATTCCCGGAGGTACTGCACCAGCTTCTGGGCTTGTTGTAATTTGATCCCCTTCTCACGCATTTTCAACAGCAGAAGTTCCCAGAGGCGATGCAACTCAACTAAGCGGGTCTTAGGTCAGAGAAGAAATTAATTACCTACAACATGCAGTAGCACTGGAATAAACCTGCTCTAAATTCAGAGTATGAAACATTGCAAAACACAGCACGAATCCACAAGAACTATCAAATCTCATAATGAACAGTGTGCACAAAAATGTTTTTAAAAATAATTTGTGAACAATAGAAGTTACTGGATATACTGAATCAGGAGTCTGGCTGCATTAAAACAGGTTGTTTTTTAAATGCAACTCAGACAAGCACAGCAGAAGCAACAAAATGGTCAAAATATCAATTCAGCAATTGCAGTAATAGTGCGGAAAATAGAAAAAATTCAAAACAGAACCAGAAACCATACCAGAGTTAACCACTCACATGCAAGAAAGTCTTAGGCCAGCAGTCTCCACCCAACTGTAACACTACATTTCCCATAGTTATGAAAAGTGTAGTCCAAACTGGGCAGTTAGCAGACCATTCGTTAAATGAATGGCCGTGTCTTCTATAAACAGAATAGAAAATCAGACAGAGAAATCATCACTGCACAACCCGACACAATCACCTACTCGGATATGATTGCCCACTTGAAAGGATGTTACTTTTGGGCGCTGAGCGGTCCGGTATGGCGTGAAGGACTGAACCACAGACACATGTATAAATACACAGTTCTAACATATAGGTAAAAACTGACTGGTGGTCCGATAGGTGGCATGCTATAGGAAGCGAATAACAATCCAAGACACTGTATTGCCCAATCAGTGCCAACCAGTGAAATACAAGTCTATTAAACAGAGTTACATGTCCACTTCAGAGAATGCGCTTTACTTTAGTCGTTCATTTCGCTTACCCTTATCGTCTCAGAGGAAAAGTGACCCTCGGAAATCATCAGGTTTCCGGTCTCATCCAATTTTACAATGGCTCCTGCATTGGCTTGTACTTCTGCCTCAAACGCCTGGTGTTTCTGTAGCTTTCCCTGCAGACAGACAATTCCAAAATAACATTTAGATATTTAGGACATTTAGATCGGTTATGAATTTAGCTTTCATGTCTTTACATATCTCTAAATATATTTACTGTCCCAACCCTAAGGTGGGATGGGTGTGTGGGGGTTTAATTAGAACACATCATTTTAAACATGTATTTTGATATTATTCTCTGCCTATATATAATAAAATATAGAGCAGTTAATCTTTAAATTGTTTCCTGGAAATTTTGATTTTGAGAAATATTTTTCTTTTTTTTTTAACCAACACGTTTATTTTATAGGAACAATCCAAGTAGCCCCTATGGCACACTGTAATGGTTATGGTGCTAGGAGTATACTGGTATGCGCACAATGTAAGTAGTCAAACAATTTAATGGGGCACTGAACGTCGTACCAGATGTGCTCACTACTGGCGGCTCATCCAATGAGCTGGTCCTGCAAAGCAGGGTTTTGGTCAGGTGTTCCATTGGAAGCTTCTAGCGGGATCTTCAATCTCTCTATGGAAGCCGCAACTGGCACGCCAGCAGACACCAGGTAAGAAGTCAAGCCATTAGCAAACTGACTACATACATGGGAGGGCACACCTGGCACCATAACTACTGCATTGTAATGTAGTGGTTATATTACCTGGATTGTTCCTTTAATAAATATGAATTATGGTGGGAGGGCAGACCTGATCCAAGTTGAGATGCATTTTTTTTTTTAGATCCCAATGTTTTCTCACCTGCAGGTTGGTGGGGTCTTTATAGTTCTCATCAGATGCAATCTGTAGCTTCTCCTGGATCCATTTCTCAAGCTCATCGGCATCTCGCTGAAAGAACTGGAAGCGGTAGGAATCCTCCAACTTCTGGCGACGCAGGGTAGAGAGCTCCTTGAAGCGCAAGTAACGGTCCAGGACTTGTTGACGTCGCTCCTGGATATCCTCTGCGGTCTCCAAAACTTTGACTCCACTTGAATCCATTTTCTGAAACCAATTACAAAAGAACCAATATTACGCTGGGTAATAGTATCGTGGCACAACCTGGCAAAAGTATTAGTAAGGCACATTGTGAAGGTCATGTGTGTCTAAAATTTTCTTGAATTCTCTCTAGGGATCTTCCATTTAATTTCCAATCCGCTCAGAGTGTTCCCATCCAATGAAAATACAGTTGTAAATAGAAATGGATGAATGAGTTACTATAGCTCATTGGCTTTTTCACATTTACGCAGCTATCGGAATGGTCTCACTCTGTCATTCCATATTATTGCCAACACATTCTGTAGCTTTTACAATATTATAAGAAGGGGGGGGGGAGATTTAACTATAAATAGGACAATCACAAGAAACCTTACAGGAAGGATAGGTTGAAGAGGACCCAGCTCAAACGAGCTTACAGTCTATAGGATATAAACCATTGTTATAAAAGCAAGTTATCCAGCCATGAAGACTTATCTGGTTCGGATACATCTTTAGTAGCAGAGTTAGAAGATTACATAGCATTACACCGGTGGTTTAATTTTACGCAAATAGCCTGCACCCAGTTTAACCTCTTAAGCAATGTGGTCTTCCAGTTTCCAAATTGAAAGGGCTGAACTTCTCGCTCTCTGACCCATGATTAGTATATTAGGAAGCTAAACAGATACCTATTGCTCAATCGGGCACGTAAACAGTGAGGTGCTTGTTTTTTCTGAATTTAAGATTTATTAATTTTTTAAGTAACACACTAAAAGGAACTGTACAAATACATCTGTGCATGCCAGACTCCCACACAGGCAGTCCGAATCACTGATATATATAACACATTCCTGTTTTTAGTTACTAGCAAGTGTATTAAAGGAAAATCCTGAAACTACGCTATTTCAGGGTCGTCAGCTGTATAAAACACTAGTTAAACACCAAGTGACCCAATAAAACAGGCACAGTAAACACCGCTAGGAGTGAAGTGCAGCCCTGACCCTCGCTTGTCCCATTTCCCTGACTGCAGACTGGACACCTTAATCCTGAACATTGAGGTGAATCACTCGTGTATTCCACTGGAGCCATCAAAATGTAATTACACAAGGCAATGGCAGTGCAGAGATCCACTAATATAAAAACAAATCTGCTGCCAAATACACCACAAAATATTGTGAGGTTTACAAGCCCTTCCAAGGCTTTGCGGTTTTGAAAAAGACAAAAGTTACAGTTATTGTAAAAGCACCCTCTGCACAGAATTTGTTTCACAAAACAAAAGAAGCATAACAGCTATGCTGATTATTTTCCGTTCTACCCTTGGACAGTCACAATAATATACAGTTCAGTAGGAGTTATTTTTGCCTGGGACAAAGGATGGATTTACAAAGAGAGAAACATATTTGGACAATAACTTTTATCTCTACATCTGACAGCAATCCTAGTTGTACAAGATATCAATATGATCTGGCTTTGTACCATAAGTAAACCTGGTAACCTCAGGCGTTTAGTTTCAGGTTTAATTCAAGGTTAACATGAAGACTTTTTTTTCAAGGGAAAAAAAAAAATGAAGAAAAACAAAAACAAAACTTACATTACATTTTTTGCAGTTAATAAATACAGTAAAAGGGATGTCAACTACAAGGCCAGCCTTAAAAAGCAAAGCAAACATTGTAGAAAAAGACAAAAAAAATGGCCCGTTCATTCGGCTTCTATCCTGCCACACCTAAAACAAGCAGCTGATTGCCTGCATTCTGCCGGGGAAATTGTTATTGTATGGAGGAAGGGCTGATAGTCCTGCAGGTTTCTCATTCTGGATTTCCTGGCTGAATGATCTGGCCGTGGGCCAGTGTGAATTTCACTGCAGTAATCGCATGGAGAGGATCAGCCTGCCAAAAAATGGGAATCATGCAGAGCACTGGCCAAATTTCACAGGCAAAAAACTTGATACCCGAACATCAATCTTTCATGTCCTACAATCTGCACACAGTCACAAAAGTTCTCTTCCTCAACTGGATCCAAATAGTTACTATGGAAAGTAGACAATGAAATGGTTCATATGTAATCCCATCTCAGCCACAGAGGGCTCGATCGCTGAGCATCATGGGATTTGCATTTCCCAGAGACAGCGGAATGGCACAAGTCATCAAGTTCCCTGGGTTTCACTACAAGGCTCAAAGGCAGCACATACGTTAATGGAGCCTGCCTTATCATCAACTATAAAGGGTTACATTTCCAGTACAAAACCAGGAACCATAATGCTCTAAAATCATGGGGGTATTTGCAACTTGTAGCAAATTGAAACCCGAATGTCTAAATTTATGCCAAGTAACTGGTTTTGAAAATTCTTCACCTCTGATATTTTTGCTTGAATTTTGCCACTTGGATTCCAAATCACTCCAATTTGGTTTATTTAATTCCTACATGTATCTGCAGGACTATCCTAAAGGACAAGGCATAATAACCCAGGTATCACATCTTCTCTTGGAATTTTAATTCAACGTGGAGTTCCTTAAAGACTTTTTTTTTTTAATTCGCCTACAGCTCTAAAAAGGAAATACAATAACGTTACAAAATAATATAAATAAAATCAATAACGTGACTTTGTAGAGCTGTATGTATGGATGTATTAGCATTTTATGCAAACCTACTGAACACTCTACTAAAGGACAGTAAAGATAAACAATCATGTAGGTCTGTAACACAGAGATAGCTGCGCATCCAGCATTACTGCAAGTTACAAACATCAACAGTAGCTACACAAACCATTAAAAAAAAAACATCTAGCATGATCAGGATTAGAAAAGATCTTCAGCTTGGAAGAACTAAAATAAAGTACTGTTGGCTCAAATAGATGTAACTGGACTATGAATATAACCTCTATTGGTGGGAGGAATACCCTCTAAGATGCAGCACAGGACTTGACCAGTTAAAGTGCACATCCTGCATATGTTTCAACTCTGGACTTTTCCCACAGACGGAAAACACACAAAAAATCTTCTCCAACAGCTAGAAAACCTGTTCGTCAGATGGTGCACTATAGAATGCAGCGTGCACTTATAGCTGTATGATGCAAGCTGCACAGCCTAGGCCAGGCATAGGCAACCTTTGGCACTCCAGATGTTTTGGACTACACCTCCCATGATGCTTTGCCAGCATTATGGGGGATGTAGTCCACAACATCTGCAGTGCCAAAGGTTGCCTACCCCTGGCCTAGGCATTGAAGGAGTTAACATGCAGCGCATGCAGGGATACTACAATCTCCTGTCCCATGGGCTCTGCTCGCTTGGCTGCAGTTTTCTAAGACCCACCCAGCTGAGCTAAACATCTTCAGTACTGGGCCTTGTCTGCCTCAACTTCATGAGAGCAGAGCAGCAACGGTCTCTGTCAATGGAATGCAGAGTGAGGATGTAGAACAGACCCCAGAAATCTAAACGTGGAGGCAGTGAGCAATGCAGCTGTTAAGTACTAACCTAGGCCATAGACGCAGATTCTTCTAACCCTGGGCAGCCACAGGATCAAAAGAATCCTAAAGCCGCTGCAGGAGGCTCATATTAAATAATTCTTTATTAACTACAATGGGATGTCTTTCTTTAAGACACAGTTAGGCAAGAGAGATCTCAATTGGGGGAAGGGTGAAACCATATCTGTATTCTGAAAGATTTGTATTTTTTATTTTTAAGTAGACATTAAATAAGGGAGCAGCTGATTCCCTAGCAAATGCAGGCCTTCTGGAGCAGTAAGTAAAAATCCCAAATCACACACTATATATAGGAGACTAGCAATAGTTGGCAATACCACTCAAGATGTCTCAGTCAATCAAGTTTTCAGTCACTTGTATTTGAATGATCCCACTAGCAGGGACAATCATGAAGTAAGCCCCCCTCTTCACAGGCTGATATTTGCTCGTGTCTGGATTTTGCATTAGACTTGGGAGAGGCTGAAATGGTATTTCAGAGTTGCTACGTCTCTTGTGGATTGGAGAATTTCCTTTCATTGAATTTATGGGTGGGACCGATCTTTCATTGACCGTTCATGTTCAATGAAAGATCTAGAAGGGCACAAGTGAGATGGAACATTTGTTAAGAATTATCCATGAGCTAAGAGATGTTTTTACGGAGCATCTTGTGCCCTTCTTGCCATGTTCCTACGGTTCATCAAGTAATAAATACTGTGTGTGTCCATCAGTTATTTCCAAGCTGCATGAACACAGCCTTTAAGGGTTTTTGATAGTGTGTTCTTTATCAAGTCGTACAAAGCATTTTCTATGTATAAAAGATCACTTGGCCCTTTGTCTCCATTTTCCAAACTACTGCCAAATCCAATTTCTGCTAAACTTGGCCCCGCAGATGTTTGAGAACTACATTTACCAATGAGCTTGGCAAGCCTGACGAAAGTCTAGTTCGAAGCTCTGCAGTGCCAAGGTTAGACGCATCACTGGTCTATATAGAAAATAATGCATGTCCCAACTCAAGACACTTTGCATGCCTTCTAAGGGAGAAGTCTCCTCATGTCTGCAGCTCTCGCAAAGGTAGAAGTAGTCAAGTATAAAACTACTTCTTGGAGTACAACTACTAGGATTAACATCCACATATGACAACACCCATGCAGGAGCGCAGCCTTGCATATAAACTGATTTCAGATGCTTTCATTGCAAAAAGTTTCCTTTGATACATTGAAACTTTTTTTTTTTTTTTTATTCTGCAAAACTGATTTTTAGCTGTAGGGTATATACAAGCCACTGGTAAATAGAATTCTGAAAGGTGTTCATAATTTGTCAAATTCCAAAAGGACAGGGGTGTCGAAAAGGTAGATCCACAGATGTTTTAAAACCACAACTCCCACCATGCGTTGTCATTCTTAAGGCATGTAAAGTATGATGGGATATGTAGTTCTACAAAGCATGATGGCAGCTGTAGTTCTAAACATCTGGGGATCTACCTTTTCTGCACCCCTGCAATAGAAGTTGACGCATTCCAGACAGCAGGGACTCCTAATCCAGATATACATAATACATAACTTTTTGTTTCCAGTGTTAAAACTTTTAAAGGCCAATAATAGAGAGCACCTAGAAACCTGTGGGAATAAAACATGCGCAAGAAGGCAAGTTTTGCAGCCTAAATTAAGGATTTGGATTGTAAGGCTTTACTTGTGTCTCACCTTCATGGCCTCCTCACTTATAGTTATTGGTATTCTGAATAACCGAGTATGGGTAGTGTTTATTAAAAATGGTAAACGCTGACACAGCTTTCTGAAATCATACTACACAGCATTATACAATTCTAATTATAGAAATAGCTCTTATAATAGAAGCTTCAGGAACCCGAATGATCTGCGTTTATATGGAGCTTTGGCAAGGCCAGCCTTCCTGAGGGTATTAACGGGATAAAAGACTGTGTTCGTCAGCAGAGAATTTTATTGTTCTGAAGTGCTATGGGGCAGCACTAATGGACTTATCCATCCTGCAGCAGACCAGCCGACGTCAAAGTGCACATAGGCTGCCAAACCGCCGCTTGGCAGGCAAGAGCCTTGATACCACTGCAGGCTTCTGCAGTCAGAATCTTTAATATCTACGTTGCAGACCAGTAGCTACGCCCAGCATCAACCTAAGTCCCCCTCCCGTATATACACAGGTCCTGCAATGCATCGCAGTACAACACACTGCAGACAGACAACGCAATTACAGCTCCAGCTCTGCGTTACATGGCAAGAATGGAGTAGGTGTTACCTATAGGGTCATCATCCCATCAATACTGGCTTCGCAAAATGCAAAAGTCCGTTTTATTACCTAAACAGTTTGAGAATAGCAAATGTGGAAGATGCAGTATCAGCTGACCTGATCCAGCAAGACTTCCACTGCAGTCTGATGGAAGGGGGAGGCGGGCAAAAGAGAGAAAGAATTCCAAGCATTTGAGACAATATCACATTTGACTTCCTGTGACCTTGAACCAGTTTCCTGGTTTCCCCAGAGTCTCCATCCAGCACTACAAATGGGGTTTGGAAACTCAACATAGGATACAAGCTGTGTATTATTAATAATGCAAAAGGTGCAATTTTAATGAACTTTCTCATCACAAGTTACACAATTAACAAATATTAAATAAAATGTAAGAGAGTCACTAATGTGCTGCAAACGGTTCTGCGAGGAAAGACCGTCACTGGGCATCCCCTGAAATGCCAATTAGGTTGTTTCCACAAGCTTATTCCTTGCATTGATAATCAAGGACCCAAACGGTGTATGCGAAATCAATTTGGGGATCCATAATTCAATAGTAAAATTAGATGAGAGAGATATTATTTTCAGTTATAACATACACTAAATCTGCATAGGTCTTTAGAGTACACTTAGTGCTAGTGAAGCCTCCATTACCACGAAGAAGGCAGAGATGCTATAGCAAACAACAGTTGGTAAGCAGCTGCACTTACAAGCAAAGGGACTCACTGAAAATAGCTGAGAAATGTGAGCAATTTTGGGCCTGACCCAGGTGTTAAAGCAAGACACTAAGCCACGACCACAAAAGCTCTATGTATGGCTATGATGTGAGAAATCTCTGGGTGCCATCCTATAGTTTTTTTGTCAATCCACATGGGACCAGTTTGACGAAACCTGGCATCTTCCTTCCCTTGGTCTGCCCTCTCCAGTCACATCAATAGTGTAGAATGTACATGTATGCAATATCAATGTCCATGAGTTTGTCAAAGACCTCCAAGTAGGTTGACATGTTGCAACTTTTTTGACCCAATAAATCTGCATATGGTTTGAACGCCATGAGCGCCTGGAGACTTTCCGGTTTGTCCATTCCATACAACATGGATATATCAGTGATTTGCTGAGAGTGATGAGGGGTTTGTGGTGTACAACGAGCTAGCAGATCTGAGACTATTATAACTGTAAAATCTATAAAAACTGGACTATGTTCTACTACATCTTTGACTTGCCACCACCAATTAAATTAAAGAGGGCTACATGGTAAGACTGTTCAGGTGAATGCTCAGTCTTTATTCTTTCCCACTTTTTGGATAAAAAAATAAAAAGCCACAGGACCAAATTATCACAGCAGTCACATTCCATCATAGTCTACGTCTGAAAATGGGGATGTTCGGCTCCATTACAGCTCTTCTCAGAAATACACTATATAGAGATTTAGAAATAATCTTAGTTGAAAATCAGTCTTCGTTTTTTCCTTTTTGTATGATAAAATAGAAGCAAAGAAACAGTTCATGATAGGACAGACTGTGTATCACATGGTATATTCAAAGTCTATTCCGTATTACAATAAATGTGTATTATCTGCCAATGAGCACTAACCCATGGCAGTCTATCATGTAATACGTTCTCCAAACCAAACAACTTAATTTGTGTCAGATATGTTACTAAGCATTACCTCTACAAAACCAAGCATCCCAAGGTCTATCACAGTGCAGCCAGATAACGCCTTGCTTGCTTTATCTAGCAAAATGAGATAAAGTGACAGATCAATCTATAATGCACAAGACATTAAAAACTAATTTATGGATCTTGGCACAGTCAAACTGAGAACCTAAATCTGTTACTGGATATTTATATATTGCTAAAAACAGGGCAGCAAAAATCTGATGAATGTCTGACAAAAGAAAATACAGAACAACAGAAACAGCCATTTACAATAAAGGAAGGTAGTGTGTGGATAAGCAACTGTCCTACAATCTAAAGACTCTTAAAAATGACTATCATTTCAAAGATCAATAACCACATAATCCCATCATAATATTGTACAACAGGGCTCAGGTATGGGATATTATAATGGCAGGAGACATGAATAAAGTAAAAATAATAATTAAAAAAGGTGTTTGTGGCCCGCTCTGCAACCTTCCAAACACAGATAAGGTCTACATTCCATTCCACAGTCATAAAACACACTTTAGTGTAACAAGTGACAGTACAGGGCAGACGTGGGACCAGGGGCCCCTCCCAGCTGCCATTAACTGATAAGACTACATGCATTTTACACTTGAATTACATGCTGAGCACTGAGCCCTTCCTAGTTACCTCGCACTGTTAGGGAATAAATGCACATATAAGGGCACGCAATCTACTCGTGTGGTATACACTATTAGACAAAACTGCACAAAAATGGCAAACTTTATTATTACTATGAAATGTCCTAAACTGTCCTACCAGCCTTTCCACTAACCACAGTCCTTCCAGAAGTCTAAACTCATCTATTTTCAGTTCACATGAATGTGGGGCATTCATTCACGATTTTCATATTCCTACAGTAAAATGGTAATGGGCTGTGTTGGCAATGTTTAATTGATAATTCAACACTTACGTAGCCATTTACTTTAGAACTGGTAGTGTGCACTGAGAGGATTTAAAAAAAAAACACATCAAATTCAGCACAGACCAGCGTAGAGAACTACTGATTATAGACCGTGTTTACTGCCGAAATATTTGCTGGCCTATATTCACGTCAAGTCAACCGTTCAGAAATGAATCCACACCAAATGGAACCCTTTTTAATGCCGGGAGAGAATCCAACTTGCAAGAGCTTAGAGATTCTATGTGACGGGTAGCTGCAAGTGGCTGGCTGGGAAAAATGGGAGTGGATATTAGCAATAGTGAGGGGGATAGGGTTTTTTTACAGCTCATGATAGCTCAACATAGAGAATGTTCACTGCTGGCATGGCCTGGCGGTGCTAGCAATTGGTGTTGTTAGCCTTGGTTTTATGGCACATAAAACATTTACACTATGCAAGCGATCTGCCTACTATGTGAAGACACAGGGCAAGGTATCATACAAGTACGATAAATGACATTCCTCTGGGGATATTTATAGATCTGCAGTGTAATGGCTGAGCAGTTTTATCAAGGCTCACAAATTATATTCTCTGCACTGTACAAGCATTGCTTGCTGCTACATTCTAACATCAGAAAGACAGACCGAAAGCCACCAATCTGATCAATGTTTGGTTTAGCTAAATCAGGAATAATTAGTGGTCAAAAATCCTAACAGGTTGTGTAGGGATCAGGCAAAACACAGCCACTCCAAAGGCACTCAGCCAACATTTGTTGCAGTGGATTTTTTTTTGCTTGAATGCCAGTCAGAAAATGTATGCAAAGCTTCCTGATTACTCAATATTGACCCTACCTGTGGTTGGGACAATGGCCAAGTAAAGTGTTATTAAAACCAGAATATCACAGTTTCTAAAAGTTTAGATTTAATGCTTTGAACGTTGAACATAACAAGGCTGGAAAACAGACCTACAATAACAACTCCCACAATGATCAACCAAACTTGTGCAGCCCAGAAACCCAATTTAATGAAAAAAAAAAAATAATCTTTTTTTATTGTTATTAAAGTATTTAACTTGGTAGCCTATGACATCACAACACCTTGGGGGAACAGTTATCCTTTGCAACCTTAATTTCCTGTTGTGCTATAAAGACACACCCTGCTCACAGACACCAGGAAGTGCTGTTGGTCACAAACTATTGTGAATTCATTTGTTTTTTGTGGTCATATTTTTAATTTCTGCAGACTTTACTCCACACAAATGCAAGTGTTATTTTTGCAATAGATTCCCTGAAATAATGTCCAGATTTATAGTAATGAGGACCCCTCCATCCATCTCTATTCACAAATTTCTCTGTGAATTTGCAGTTCCCAGCTCAGATCAGTACAAGCATTTAATGTCAGTAAATGCAGGTTTTTCATCACCCATGCTTTAGCCCAGGTCACCTCCCCACCCAAAGAGTACATTTTGCAATTCTGCTTCCATTTACGGTTTCTTTTTTTTTTTTTTAAATACCTGTTCCCCCTTAATGTATAATGACCTTGCCAGTTTTTCCTGAGTTAGAAATGGCATTAAGGCTGTCAAAGCATCATGGATGTTGTAGTCCTAGGACAGCTGGAGGGGGGGGGGGGGCTTTTCACAGCCAAATACAACAAGTTTACATTCAGAGTCTGTTGTACAAAAAAAACATTAAAAAAATAAAAACTATTTTGGGTGTGAAAATGTAAACTATTCAATCACATTGATAAACACAATGTTTAAAATGCGCCATTGATGCAAAAAATAACTTTACTGGATAGATGAATGATGAAAGAATGCAAAATGATTGAATCAAAGATTTTGCTTTTAGAATTTGTAATTGTTTTAGTTAGTGACTCAATCGCTTTCCAGAATTGCTCATGTTTGTATTTCTAAAGTGTGGGTGGTATGTTTAGGGTGACTTTCCTCAAAAGCAACATATTTAAAAATAATTGACATTACTGTTGAATAAATGAGGAAGGATTTGCAGACAGTGTGTTGCTCCTCTTCCCTTTTCAATATCAAAGGTCAAAAAAGAATAAAAAGAAAAAGTTCTAAAGTCTAGGTGAGTCACAACGTGCAATTTATTTCAGTCAATTCATTTGGAAAATGGAAGTTTCCGGAAAGCCGAGTCGTGAATCCAGCACTCTGGGAAGGTTGCCTTGGAGATAAGATGTCTGTTCTCTAGCGGAATTCTAGAGCAGTTTATTTTCTCTTTGAATTTTAAAGCAGCAATGTATCCAACAGACTGGCAAAAAGCCCCACGATGCACTCCATCTGGTCATCCAATCAACCAACTCAATACATTAACCCTGTTTGCATCTAGACCAATAGAAATGCATTTTCTTCTATCCTACCCTTGTTCTATACAAGGGACAGGCAGTCTTCGGTACTCCCAATCTTGTGGACTACATCTCTCATAATGCTCTTAAACCCATAACACTGGAAAGTCATCAGGGGAGATGTGGTTGACTACATCTGAAGCCCCAAATGTTGCCTACCTGGTTTAAACAAGTGAATCAAATAAGAAAACAAAAAATTAAGGTAGCTTTGCCAGTGGAGGCTCATATATCTAAACAATATATATATATAAAAAAAAGTTACACAAATAGCTTCTTCCTCCAAATATATAGAAAGTTCTGCATGAAAAACACTAAGTGTCAATGTGTTCATGGGATTTAGGAGCAAGATAACATCTTTAGGAATTATTCAATAGCTCCCAAAAGTGAGAACACCCCTCAAATTTTTGTAAATATTTTATTATATCTTTTCATGTGACAACACTGAAGAAATTAAACTCTGCTACAATGTAAAGTAATAAGTGTACAGCCTGTATAACAGTGTAAATCTGCTGTCCCCTCAAAATAACTCAACACCATTACTGTCTAAACTGCTGGCAACAAAGGTGAGTACATCCCTAGTTGGAAATGTCCAAATTGGGCCAAATTAGCCATTTTCCCTCCCTGGTGTCATGTGACTCAAGTGTTACAAGGTCTTCGGTGTGAATGGGGAGCAGGTGTTATCGCTCTCACACTGGTCACTAGAAGCTCAACATGGCACCTCATGGCAAAGAACTCTCTGAGGATCTAAAAAAAATAATTATTGTTCTACATAAAGATGGCCTATGCTATAAGAAGATTGCCAAGACCCTGAAACTGAGCTGCAGCACGGTGGGCAAGACCATACAGCAGTTTCACAGGACAGGTTCCACTCAGAACAGGCCTTGCCATGGTCGACCAAAGAAGTTGAGTGCAGGTGCTCAGCGCCATATCCAGATGTTGTGTTTGGGAAATAGATGTATGAGTGCTGCCATTGCTCAAATTGATGATGCACAAGAAAGCCCGCAAACAGTTTGCTGAAGACAAGCAAACTAATGACATGGATTACTGGAACCATGTCCTGTGGTCCGATGAGACCAAGATAAACTTATTTGGTTCAGATGGTGTCAAGCATGTGTGGTGGCAACCAGGTGAGGCGTACAAAGACAAGGGTTTCTTGCCTACGGTCCAGCATGGTGGTGGGAGTGTCATGGTCTGGGCCTGCATGAGTGCTGCCGGCACTAGGGAGCTAGAGTTCATTGATGGAACCATGAATGCCAACATGTACTGTGACATACTGAAGCAGAGCACGATCCCCTCCCTTCGGAGACTGGGCCGCAGGGCAGTATTACAGCATGATAACCACCCCAAACACACCTCCAAGACGACTACTGCATTGCTAAAGAAGCTAAAGGTAAAGGTGATGGACTGGCCAAGCATGTCTCCAGACCTAAACCCTATTGAGCACCTGTGGGGCATCCTCAAATGGAAGGTAGGGGAGCGCAAGGTCTCTAACATCTACCAGCTCCGTGATGGAAGAGGACTCCAGTGGCAACCTGTGAAGCTCTGGTGAACTCCATGCCCATGAGGGTTAAGACAGTGCTGGAAAATAATGGTGGCCACACAAAATATTGACACTTTGGGCCCAATTTGGACTCATGTTTGTTGCCAACGGTTTAGACATTAATGGCTGTGTGTTGAGTTATTGTGAAGGGACAGCAAATTTACACTATTATACAGGCTGTACACTTACTACTTTACATTGTAGCAGAGTGTCATTTCTTCAGTGTTGTCACGTGAACAGATATAAGAAAATATTTACAAAAATGTGAGGGGTGTACTCACTTTTATGAGATATTGTATATGTTCAGAAGTAGGGAAAAGTTGCATTCACACCGCTCTATATACTAAAAACTATTAGAATTATTGATGGGGGACACCTACTCACATTTCATTTTTAGATTCAGCTATTAAAAGAACTTTATTTACTAAAAGGTTTTTTTTTACCAAATGACACTTGTTGGGAATTTAAGGTAAATCTCAAATTCAAGTTAGCTATGCTTCTAATTCAGTTACTTTGGTCTTAAATATGAAATTGACTTTGAATCTGAAATTCCAACACAGTCTCGAGATATACAGAGAAAAAAGAAGGGACTACTTTGTCTCTGTATTTCTCCTCCGCCTGACTTTCTCAGACTCATGGTGGAGTCTAAGCGTTAATCCCGACAGCTGTCACCAGTGACGGCTGCAGGGAATTGGCTGTGCCTATGGAGGATGTTGCGGTCCCGCGAGATCCCCAATAGACCTCAATGCTGTATACTTATGCATGCACAAAAGTACAGCAGTGGCATCAGCTCCTGGAGCTGAGGCACCAGGAGTTGAAGAGGACCACCATGAGAAAGATGGCAGCACCCACAAGGGACAGGTTCAGGTAAGTAATCTCAGCTATACTCGCCCCCTTGTGTGCACCGGATCACCAGCAGCAATGTCACCATTGGTGCAAATTCGGCAAACTCACCAAACAGGGACAGTGCTGCTTTAAGCCATTCTGTTTATGCAGCCCTAGCTACACCTCCCCTGCCTGTGACTCCTACTGCCAACATGAAAAGAAATGGTTTCATTTTCAATCAGATGCTAACCTGCTTTGGAAGTTTATATCGCCTCTTTAAATTTATTTTCATTTTACTAATAGGTGAGTGGATTTAATGTTTCCATATTTTTATTCTACTTTAACAAATAATGTTTTAGCCAATGAGATTTCACTATACGGGTTTGCTTTCATTGCATAATCAAAAAAAAAAAAAAAAATTGAATGGAACTTAGCAATGTGATACCAAGCTTTGCCGGATCCTCCTTTAGCATGAGATCACACAATATTAACAGTAAGATACACTGTTTGAGAGAGAAGTCATGCACAAGAGAAGATCAGTGAAGGATCATGCCAAAGATCACACGTCAACTAAGAAGTGCAACTAAAAGCGGCACAAGATATTTAGGAGCAAAAGGCATAGCCATTTGTTGCTAGAGGGGAAAAAAAGCAAAACCAGGAACAAAATATAGAAAAATAAAGTCACTGCAATCAAATCACACAATACCTGGACTCTGATCTTACGGAGGGACAACATGACTGGATGCGGAAAACACTAATAAGATAAAAAACGGGATACAAAAAAAAAAAATTGAAACACTGTTGACACATTTGCGCCTGTCCCACATCAGCGGTAAAGCTCTCTTTCAGCATTTTGTAATGGATGTTGGAAGACAGGACAATGCATTTCGTCTTCCTTTCATGAGCAGTTTTGTTTTAGCGAACAGAAGCCAGAAATGATCAGTCTCTGCAGCTATTGATTTTAATATTGGATATCTGCAGTCGTCTGCTTTTAAATGGACAACATACTTTTTTATTTGCCAATTTGGAAGCCAATTCTATTGCTCTGCAAAATAACCCCCTTTACGTTGTAGAGTGTCTCTTCCATATATGCGAAGGGCAGCCAACTCTAGCTAGGGAGTAATCTCTTACATTGTCTTCATGCAAACCCTCATCAGGGATCTGCCCATCCTAGGGGAATCTAAAACACGTTTGAGGGACAAAAGAGGTTAGTAAGAGTGTTGAAAGCTAGACGGAGTGAGCTATAAAAACATCTCTCTCCTCTGACAATCAAAGGGTTAAGAGGAGGGAGTATGGTATGCAAGTGAAGCTGCAAAGTATACAGATCCTGCATATATCCGGAATCCCAAATGTGCAGGGCATGTACACATATAGGGGGTGTAAACTTCAATCCCAGGCAACTACATAAGGCACATAGACAAGCGATGCATCTGTCTGAATATATATTTGTGAAATTCAATTAGCTGTGTTCGGTACAGACACCGTTGCAGTCCCACCAAATGATGCTTTTTCACAATTACAGTGCGCAATGCAGATCAACCACCAATTTACAAAAAGGAACGAGGCACGGTGGAGTCCTATTTATGATTATGGTGAGATGGCGCATGGACTGATTTGGTACAAATCCTACAATGCGGTTTGGAAACGACTCAAATGAGTAGTTTGAATTTTGTAACTGAAGTAGTATGAATCATGCAATTGGATTATAATTTAAATAAACAGGAAAATGGCTTTGTAATGCCCCTAACGTGCTGTTTCTGAGTTCTAACAGCAAAGGGAGAACATTAAAACAGGAAATAATGTTACAACTGAAATATTATAAAGGTTATATTTTGTAATTCAAACAACAATATTCAAAGACTGATGTTGACACATTGTAATGCAGTGAAATAAAAATATGCAGAGAAGATTAGCAACTATATAAAAAAAATGACCAGAATTTCATTGTTACTACATTAAAACACATTAGGTAGGACACTGTTGCCAAACCTTGATTACTGCAGATATTTGCATGCCATCTCCTGAGATAAACATCATGGGAAATGTAGTTCTCGAATATCTGCAGTGCCAAGACAACTGATTGCCAAAATTACAGTGGATGATAACATTGGTGTCTTTTGTTTTGATAAATCCTCAATCTGCGTTAAGGAGAGAAAATTAGGCCATGCCAGTTGACAGACAGACCAGTTGGCACGAACATTTAACAAGCTGTGTCCCAAATACTCATTTAACCAACTCAGGACCTTGGGCCCTAAAAACTGATGGGTTGATATCCCCTTCAGGACACCGCTTAAAAAATAAAATGCCAGCATGTCGGAAAATGTCCGTCGTGTGTCCTTAAGGGGATATACTGCTTGTAACGGGTACGAAGCCAGTTCTTATACCAAGGTATGCCCACCTGTCAAGAGTAGAACTTCATAAAGAATGTCTGGCTATAAAGTTGGTCTATATGACAAGGTAAAACTATTGCCAAAGCATACTGCATACTGTGGGTGGGGACTATTGAAACTTTTAACATGTCCTTGTCACAGGCAATAGCTCAGCTTCTTTTCCTGAATTACATTCCTGCAGTGCAGTTGACGCCCTGTTGCACCCACATGATCGACATTGCAGCTTGACTTGGACTTGTTTAAAGAGACACTAAACCTATAATTTTACCAGTGGTGCAATCTGTAACTCTTCCAGTCCCAGGGACCTGTACAACACCTAATTCTACAACGGAATGACTGCATTCATTTATCATTTTCTGTAGCAGCCCAACTGAAGATATAAGATTGTAGTCACTGTGCAACATCACAGATTCATTTGCCCGGTTTCACAATAACTTCTTGAATGAATGGGTTATCAGCGTAATGTATTACCAACTGATAGAGTGAAATAGATTATTCAGTTTGTCTTGGAGAAGAATCGTGGGAGTGCCTGGTAACAAGATTAAAAATGGATGCAGATCTATTGGCAAGAAATGCTAATTTAAAAAAAGAAATTCTGTAATATCCACTTGTTTACATTAGCACACAATGGGGAAAAAAAACCTTCTAGAGAAACCAGATCTCATAGAAGGATCTACCTTACAGTATCTTATCACAAGAACAAACCTATCCCCCTCTGGGTTTCTGGTTAATGTAATCTTTGAAAAAGGAGGACAATGGCAAAATGCACAATACTGTGCTACTACTATAATTTACAAATAAAAATCAAAACATTTTGATTGCCCGGGGGTGTTTACTAAAGGACTTCCACATATATTGACAATCAGAGGGTTAATACTACCATTATCATTTAACACTGTTGATTAATAGCATACAAAGACTTAAAACGTATACAAAAACAAAATGATACTGAATGACAAATTGCAGGGTTTTTTTTTTAGCATCTACTCTAGAATGGAATCATTTAATAATTAAATTGCCTTTTACAATTAAAAAAAATACCCTTATATTAATTCATACTAGATGATAAATTAAATTCACTGATTGTTTAGTCCACCGATATTTGTATTGGACGCAATTATAATGTACAAATGTATTTATATATCTCAACATCACAAGTACAAAAACTACAGTACACCCTCCATACCCTGAAACAAAGAAACCATCACTAGAAATTGGATACTGGATCTCCAACATTTGCCAATGCAGGACTGAAACAATATTACACAGATACCAAACAGAAATAGCAAGCCAACGAGAAGATAAAGATATACACATCCACACAAAGATGTAACAGAAGGGGGTAAATGTGTGCATTGCAAGGGCCATAAGAACGCTAGGCTTGTTAAAATATACTGAAAGGACAACGTTCCATTTCATTGATTGGTAAAAAGCCAAAAATTGATTATGCGGAAAGAAAATGCCATGACCTACAGGGTTAACGATGGTCTGCCTATTTTAAAATTGAGCTGCAAATATGCTGGGGATTTACAAATGGCTATCAATAATCACAATACATTTAACAAGATTTTCACCACAAAAATGCAAATTCACTAAAGGGACATAAAACATACTGTATCTGTCAACACTGGATTAGGCAAGGACTGCCTTGTGCATTTTATACTGGCTAAAGCCCAGGTTCATGCATTTTTTATAATTAACATTCTGCTCTCTCCATTCTGAATACTCATCTGGGACAGGATTAAACCAGGGCAGGAAAACATTGTGCACTAGGATAGTGTCAAAAATCAAGACATAAAATGGGTCACATTACATGCATTACTGGAGTGATGTCTGCATTGACAATTACTCATTAAAGGCCATATTTATAAAAGACAAAAACTGGGTAACCCCCCCATATGTACAAACTGCTGTACATGATGGATCAAACACCTTTGCAACCAATATTCATGCATTAAGAGACAAAAAAACAAAAATCTATACATTATAATAGGCTGCAGGGTGGCAAGGCATAATGGGGGTTGTAGTTCTACAAGATACCCCCCTGCTATAAAAAATATTTTTCTTTTTTGCTCCAAATGTAGCCCTTTAAATATTAGATAGCAATATACAAAATGTAATTATTTATAAAATTTATATATGGATTTAACACAAGAGAAAAAAAAAATAATATATATATATATATATATATATATATATACACACATATAATGTAGTGCCTTGACTATACAATATGCTATAAAATATATAAATAATGCTTTAACACGTGATACTATGTAATAGAGAGCCCTGCAGGACTGATGGGGTTAATGCCTGGGGGTTTATTGGGGGCCAGTATGGTGCATGCACTGTGTACCCCAGCTCTGGGGAGGGTGTGGGGAGCAGACAGCAGGGAAGGGGTGCGGCCTCACCAGCTCTAGGGGGGGTGATAACGCTCCAACTTCCGAACTCCAGCTCTCCAGATCTTCGACTGAGCTGGTCGCCAGCGGCTCCCCTTATTTATAGCCGCGGCCCACAGGGCTGACGTCACCCTCCGCAACCTCTCCGGAAAAGCACGACGAGCTGACGGAGCTTGGCAGAGTGACCCACACCCAGCGACGGACACGCCCGCTTACTCGAAGGCCGACTACGGCACGGAAATAGCCGAGTCTTGCCGGAGACTGACGGGAATGTTTGCAGAATGAAAATGGCTTGAATTGAGCAAAAAATGGCCGCTTCCAGGCGAAGCAAACACTAAAACAAAACATTGTGTTTTAACTGCATCCTGTGTGCCCTGTAAATGGAAAGTTAGGGTTTAAGTGCTATGTAGGAGCATGTTTGGAATTGAAAACAAATATTGCAATTAACCAGCTTTTATATCTGCTACTTTAAGGACAATAAATGTATGTTAAAGAATTAGCAATTAATTAAAAATGCTCCAATAGGGAAAAGCCCTTTCATTATTTTTTTTTCTTTATTTATGCACTCCGATAACACCTCAGATAAGCATTTCTTTTTCAGTGTAGGAGTATTAAAGGAATGACAAATTTTGTTCTCAAATAAGCAACCTTTAAATTTCCCTGTAGAGCTAACTCAGGTAGCCTTGAAGACATTAACCTTTAGAACAGGCATAGGCAACCTTCGGCACTCCAGATGTTTTGGACTACACCTCCCTTGGTGCTTTGCCAGCATTATGGGCGTAAGAGCATTATGGGGGATGTAGTCCACAACATCTTCAGTGCCGAATGTTGCCTATCCCTGCTTTAGAACATCAGTAAGGGCATAAGCGTGCGCACGGGGTGTGTCTGGGCACACCCTAATCCCTGCGGCACGTCTATGTATTGAGACCGGCAGGGGAGATTTCAGGATCTCCCCTGTCGGCTCATGCAGAGCCGGCGCTATCCGAGCGCCGGCTCTGTGCTCAGCCTCCCTCCCCACCGACCCACAGGCAGGAGAGGACCCGGGGAGCTATTGCCGGCAGCACCGCCGGGTTCCTCTCGCGAGATCTGAGCGCTGCCGCGGCAACGCTCAGATCTCGCGAGAGTGAACTCTAGCCCCGCAGGCTAGAGTTCACTCACCACTGGACCACCGGGGAAGGCAGCAAGGAAGGATCCCCCCTCCCTACATAAGGTGAGAAGGGAGGGGGGATATTAAGTAAGCTGCCCCCACCTCCACTGGACCACCAGGGAAGGCAGCAAGGAACAAGAATCCCCCCTCCCTACATAAAGTAAGAAGGGAGGGGGGATATTAAGTAATGTACCCACACACATACAGCACCCACAGACATACACAGCACCCACACACATACACAGCACCAACACATATACAGCACCCACACAAACACACACATCACCCTTACACACAGCACACAAACAGCACTCGGCACACTAACAGTAGCCTCACAAACACACACACACCACATTACCAGTATCCTCACACACAGACAGCACCCTCCCACACAGTACATTAACAGCACCCTCACACACACACAGCAGTGTGTGTGTGTGTGTGTGTATATATATATATTTATATATATATATATATATAAACACATATATATATATATATACACACACACACACATACATATATATACGCGGCGTGTGCTTGTGCTTTAGGGTGCACACCTTAATGCAATAGGCTGCACACTCCTATGCGTAAGGGAGTGCTAAGTAGACCTCCTTTACAGCTAGTACCGAACAAATCAATTTTATTTTAAAATTCAAACGAATCTACCCATCCAAGATTTATCATACCTTCCAACATTGGCGCCTTATCAAATAGGACACTGGCAACTGGGGCAAAGGGGGTGTGGGCCAGACCCACCCTAAGAATTGACAGGTCAGGCTGGCATAAAGGCATACCAGGCTGCCTGCCAATCACAAAGGCAAATCCAGGCCAGGCCATGCAGGGATCACTGTTTCAGTACTCTCTACAGTTCACAAAGCGTCACTCGCGCTGCTTTTTTTTGTGGACTGTTCCATGGCGACCCAAAATGCAGGACACTTATGATGGGACTGTCCTGCTGAAGTCGGCGTGGTTAAGAGACATATTTACCAGTGGAGTTGTATTACTTGAATAAGATGTCACTGGTAATTCCAATATGGATCAGTTTGTGCAAGTGTAGATTAAAAGGAATTTGATTCGTTCATACCAGCTGTAAAAAAAAAAATAAAAAAATTGTGCATAACTCTGGTGTTAACTCATATTAGCTTACTTTTCAGCTTATGCCCTCTCTATCCACGACCTTTACTCATGATCTTATTACTCATATCTCATATTTCCTTTTCTCCACTCGTTTGATCCTGAGCTCAAATTTCCAGATTTTAAAAATAATTTAATATCTTGAAAAATGTACTGAATATTATAAATTTTGATTTTTTAAAATATAATTTTTTTATACATAATATATTTAATATTTTGAAGAATATTAAAAGTTTATCCAAAACTAGTAAGTCAAGGCTATATTTAACCTCCCCCTGCCCCCCTTCCTTTAAAATAAAAAGTCTTAAAGGGACACTATAGTCACCTAAACAACTTTAGCTTAATGAAGCAGTTTTGGTGTATAGAATATGCCCCTGCAGCCTCACTGCTCAATCCTCTGCCATTTAGGAGTTAAATCCCTTTGTTTATGTACCCTAGTCACACCTCCCTGCATGTGACTTGCACAGTCTTCCATAAACATTTCCTGTAAAGAGAGCCCTATTTAGGCTTTCTTTATTGCAAGTTCTGTTTAATTAAGATTTTTTTTTATCCCCTGCTATGTTAATAGCTTGCTAGACCCTGCAAGAGCCTCCTGTATGTGATTAATGTTCAATTTAGAGATTGAGATACAATTATTTAAGGTAAATTACATCTGTTTGAAAGTGAAACCAGTTTTTTTTTTTCATGCAGGCTCTGTCAATCATACCCAGGGGAGGTGTGGCTAGGGTTGCATAAACAGAAACAAAGTGATTTAACTCCTAAATGACAGTGATTTGAGCAGTGAAATTGCAGGGGAATGATCTATACACTAAAACTGCTTTATTTAGCTAAAGTAATTTAGGTGACTATAGTGTTCCTTTAAGGACCGGCAATTATGCAAAGAAACATTCCTATCATTTCTTTGTTAAACTAGAAAGCAAGGGAAAGTCATATATGGAGCGGCGCCTGTCAGAGTAATTAACTGGTAAAGGCTTATTGGACTTTTACCCAAACATGTGTTTGGCACAGTTGGTATAGGGCTAGTATGAGCATTGATAACCACAATATTATATACATTTAGATTCTTTATTTTACTTTTAATTTCTGCTTTTCTCTCAATATTATGCATTAGCAGAATCCACTCTTTATTACTTTTGAAATCACATATATTTATTTGACATTTAGTTTTACCCCATAAAGACAGAGGCAATTGTCCAAGTTCTGAACCAAAAAAAAAATCCTTACATTTTTAACTATAGGTTTATTCCTCCCTAACTTAAAAGGTTTCTCTGCAAGTGCCCCCATACATATTCTAAATACAAGGAATAAAATTATAAACGCAACACTTTAGTTTTTGCCCCCATTTTTCATGAGTTGAACTCAATGTTTTCTATATATACAAAAGGCATATTTCTCTGAAATATTGTTCCCAAATCTGTCTAAATCTGTGTTAGTGAGCACTTCGCCTTTGCCGAGATAATCTCACAGGTGTGGCATATCAAGATGCTGATTAAACAGCATGATTATTGCACAGATGTGCCTTAGGCCGGCCACAATAAAAGGCCACTCTAAAATGTGCAGTTTTGTCATACAGCACAATGCCACAGATGTCGCAAGTTTTGAGGAAGCATGCAATTGGCATGCTGACTGCAGGAATGTCCACCAGAGCATTTCTCTACCAAAAGCCGCCTCCAAAGGCGTTTCAGAGAATTTGGCAGCACATCCAACCGGCCTCACAACCACAGACCATGTGTAACCAAGGAATGAGCAGCAGACATAAACAACTAGACAAGGGATGAGGCCTGACGGACAACCGAGCAGGTCGCACATGGCTGCAGCCCCTCAGATTCAGCCTGAAAATTAGCTGTAAAATTAATATATATTGTAACCGCGGCTGGTTCCCCTATTTACCACTATAATGTCTTAAAGCATAGAACTGAGCAGGGCTAACCATACAGATATCTTAGCCATAATTTTATATAGTGTAAGAGATCCTCTATTTAACATATATAAATAATTGAGAATACAATATAAAATAAGGATTGTCTTGGAAGCAATAGTTTTGTCTTTTTGGATATTTATTATATAAAAATATAAATATAAAATCCATTATAGCAGAGTTGATAAGATTAAATTACATGCTTGCAAATATCATTAATAGGTTAACATACCCTTCTGAACATGTCATCATGTCAGCCTCTCTGTTATTTTAAGATGGAGCAGCGTCTGTCTCCAAGTCTCTCCTCTGTGTCTTAACATTTAAAAGTACACCTATTTATACCATAGGTGTCTCCATTTTAGGGTCACCGTAGTTCATATATAAACACTTCTTTTACTTTATTCATTTTAGGACCTCCCTTAATTTGGCAAACATACAAGGCCATAACTAAAGGGTGTATACGTCATGGAAATTTTCCTGACTTAGGTCATCTTAAAGTCCGAACATCCTTATCTACTAAGGTTACCACAGTATATTGTGTACTGAAAGAGTCGTAGCATAGCCTTGAAGCTTGTTTATGCATTATTGTTATTGTAATTCATCTGGGACAAAATGGCGCAAACATATTATGCACTGAGGTTATTGCTTAAAGAAACAGTTATGAAAAACAATATGTTCCATTTCTAACACCTTGTCAGTTTGCAATATCTCTTAAAGACAAAGTACACAGTTTAAGAAATACATTTCATTCTAAAACTTGTAATATTTGCATTTGCCCATGACAATATTTTGCCTGACAATTCTCTGTCGAGTATGAACTTTCTTAGTCCTGGCGGCTGTAGACTCCTTGATAAGCACACAATGCAACCCCAGTACACATACACTCACACACTCATTTATTTATTTTTTTCTCACACAATCACAAATTGCTATTTTTATTTAAATCCACCCAGCCTTTGGGAGAGCAGAGTGGATCTTTCCCTGGTGTCCAGTGGGTCTCCTCCCAGTCTTCCTGCCGTTTCTCTCTGCTTCCCTGTGTGCTCTCTGTAGAGATGCCGGGGCCGGAGTAACGTCATGTCACTAAACAGCGCACAAGGGAGCAGAGAGGAACTGCAGGAAGATTACTGCTCCCTCACACACTGCCTCCATGCTCCCCGCGGCGGCTGGCTTTAATGTTTCCTGCGAGGCATAGCAAAAGGGCTGACAAATGCCAGGAGACAGGGCAAAATGTCTAGTCGCCATGGCGACCTGGTGCCTGGTATTTGTTGAGCCCTGTGTATGTGTGTGTGTGTGTGTATATATACATTTAATATATAAATGGAGAGGCTTGCACTCACGGTCTTGTAGTCTTAAAAAGTGACATTTTATTGAAGATCCATTAAAAACGAAGCAACATCATCAACGTTTCAGTCCACGTCTGGTACTTACTTCCTAAGTATGAATCCTGGAGACGCCACTGTCTATGTATTCCCGACGTCATCTTCTTGCACGGCCCAGATTGGGAGACAGCGGAAACTGTGGTCAAAGCAGATGCTACCTCGTTGTCTGCATTCTACTGAGTCCCATCGTCACGTCCTTTACTGGTGCTCCAGTGGAGGCCTTACTTACAAGTGCACATCGCGCCACTGGAAGGTTCCCGCGCAAGGCAGCCTACATTGTGAAATGGGCCCGGCTACAGACCCAGTTCCAGAGGTTAACCTTGGCGGGATTCCTAGAGGAGTAGTGCAGGTCCACATCCATGATTGGGGCTAATGGGTAGCCCCTCACATTTTGGTAAACTGACTTTCCTCTGTATTGACAGCCTCCCATCTGCCGGCATAGGCAGAGTAACCCTGTGGACAGACGGCAGACACACTGTTGCTATGCTCAGTTTACTGGCTTACTGTATATTATTATTCTTACAATATATATGTATATTTGTTTTGTATTTATTATTTCTACTGGCGTAGAAATGAGTACTTCATCAACCTGGGTATCCTGCACTCATCAATAGCAGCTCCTGTGTATTACATACCATGACAAATTAGGTTAATATATAGAACACAGACAATAAAACCTACCTGTGTATGTTAGTTTCTTATGGTATCTTGGCTCTTAACTCTTGAAGAAGAAAAGAACAAAAAAAACAAACAAAAACAAGACGAGACTGCAAGATCCTGGACAGTCAGGTATCTCCTGTAGTTATTAATAAGATGAGTGCACTGTATGCGCATGTCTATGACACCACATGTTAATGCTTCCATAACTGATACAGAGGACTGTCTGTGTATTTGCACATATTCAATGTATGCCAGTAGAGCATGTGCCTAGTTGGGTGTATGTATGAATGCACATGAATAGTACAACAGCTTATTACCCATAGTGAAACGTGTCCGTATGTCGCTCATATAATGCACAACTGTGTGCCCATTACAGACAAGCGTCTGCAAGCAAGACAAATCAATGAAGAAGACTAAGGGCGGAGTACAGGCCTACCAGAGGTGGGTGTTACAAAATTTTACATCTACCTCTATGAGGACATACACTGAACATAATTATAAAAGCAACACTTTTGTTTTTGCCCCCATTTATCATGAGCTGAACTCAAAGATCTAAGACTTTTTCTATGTACACAAAAGGCCTGTTTCTCAAATATTATTCCCAAATCTGTCTAAATCTGTGTTAGTGGGCACTTCTCCTTTGCCAAGATAATCCATCCACCTCACAGGTGTAGCATATCAAGATGCTGATTAGACAGCATGATTATTGCACAGGTGTGCCTTAGGTTGGCCACAATAAAAGGCCACTCTAAAATGGGCAGTTTTACTGTATTGGAGTGATCCAGGGGGAGGTGGGGGGTACGAAAACCGGTCAGTATCTGGTGTGACCACTATTTGCCTCACACAGTGCAACACATCTCCTTCGCATAGAGTTGATCAGGTTGTTGATTGTGGCCTGTGGAATGTTAGTCCACTCCTCTTCAATGGCTGTGCGAAGTTGCTGGATATTGGCAGGACCTGGAACACGCTGTCATATACGCCGATACAGAGCATTCCAAACATGCTCAATGGGTGACATGTCTGGTGAGTATGCTGACCATGCAAGAACTGGGATGTTTTCACCTTCCAGGAATTATGCACAGATCCTTGCAACATGGGGCCGTGCATTATCATGCTGCAACATGAGGTGATGGTTGTGGATGAATGGCACAACAATAGGTCTCAGGATCTCGTCACGGTATCTGTGTGCATTCAAAATGCCATCAATAAGATGCACCTGTGTTCATTGTCCATAACATACGCCTGCCCATACCATAACCACACCGCCACCATGGGCCACTCAATCCACAACGTTGACATATAGCAAACCGCTCCCCCCCACACGACGCCATACACGCGGTCTGCCATCTGCCCTGTACAGTTCATCCGTGAAGAGAACACCTCTCCAAAGTGCCAGACGCCATTGAATGTGAGCATTTGCCCACTAAAGTCGGTTACAACGATGAACTGCAGTCAGGTCGAGACCCCGATGAGGACGACGAGCATGCAGATGAGCTTCCCTGTGGTGGTTTCTGACAGTTTGTGCAAACATTCTATGGTTATTCAAACAAATTGTTGCAGCAGCTGTCCGGGTGGCTGGTCTCAGATGATCTTGGAGGTGAAGATACTGGATGTGGAGGTCCTGGGCTGGTGTGGTTACACGTGGTCTGCGGTTGTGAGGCCGCTTAGATGTAATGCCAAATTGTCTGAAACGCCTTTGGAGACGGCCTATGGTAGAGAAATGAACATTCAATTCACAGGCAACAGCTCTGGTGGACATTTCTGCAGTCAGCATGCCAATTGCACGCCCCCTCAAAACTTGCGACATCTGTGGCTTTGTGCTGTGTAATAAAACTGCACATTTTAGAGTAGCCTTTTATTGGGGCCAGCCTAAGGCAAACCTGTGCAATAATCATGCTGTGTAATTAGCATCTTGATATGCCATACCTGTGAGGTGGATGGATTATCTCGGCAAAGGAGAATCGCTCACTAACACAGATTTGTGAACAATATTTGAGAGAAATAGGCTTTTTGTGTATACAGAAAAAGTCTTAGATCATTGAGTTCAGCTCATAAAAAATGGGGGCAAAAACAAGTGTTGCATTTATAATTTTGTTCAGTGTAGCAACCCTGGAACAGATCCTAGGAGGAGTCCATGACAGGTACCCTTTAAACATTTATCAGGAACCGAATCATGACTTCACGCCAGGCTAACTGCCTCTATAGTCAGTCCCTCTCAGGGTGCTATTGAAGCACTCTCATAATTAAAAGGAACACTATCGTTTCAGTAGTCCAAACAAATTCCTGACACTATAGTGCCTGTTTAAGTCCCCCTTAAATACTTCTAAAAAGGTGATTTTACTCACATTTTTTCCAACTCCAGTGTGGTCTCATTGCAGCTGGCCCCACCGGAGTTCATCAATCTTGATGATCTCAGCCAATCCAATGCTTTCCCATAGGAAAGCACTGGGAGTCTGTTGCACATGCGTGGCAAAACTCTGCCTCAATCAGCATCTCCTCATAGAGATGTATTGAATCAATGCATCTATGCATCTCTAAGGGAAGCGTTCAGCGTTTCCATGAAGAGAGTGGAGACGCTGAACGCCGGTACTGCACACTGTGCAGCACTTGAATCTGAAGCACCTCTATTGACTATCTGAGTGACCGTCGCTGGAGGTGTTCCTAGGAAGCAATATAAACACTGCCTTTTCAATGAAAAAGCAGCATTTACATTGAAAAGCCTGCAGGGACAGATTATAGCCACCAGAACCACTACATTAAACTGAAATTTTCTAGTGATTAAAGTGTCAAATTAATGAACACGGTCAGAACACTTGGCACGGTGTATGCATGTCTCAAGCTGTGCCTGCAGGGGATGGATCAATGGGTTCAGAGAATAAACCTAGGACAGTGATGACAGGACCCCTCAAAACAGACAGGAGGCATGTCAACATGCGTAAGTGATATCAGGAAATTGTGCTGGATGTAGCACCTCTATTTACAGCTACTGTAAGCTCATAAATGCAAGCTGGACCCAAATTATCCTTAATTCAACAATACTCAAACACTGTTAAGAGATCAGCAAACAGTGAAACCACATAGCTATTAAAGTAGTCTTTCTTTGCACAGTCAGTGGTTCTAGTTTGTGGCAGTGCCCTCTACTGGACACAAACCAAACTTACCAACAAATAAAGGGACACAAGGATTGAGGATGTTTGGTAATCTACGTCAATGTCACAGATACTCGGAAGCTTTTGACTGAGAAGACAGTGCTTAAGATCCCATTAATTATGAATATAAAAAACCCAAGAGGAATATAACATACTTGTCACAGTGGAAAGGCATCAGTATGGTTTTAAATTTTTTTTATTTTTGCAATTCCTTAAAACGGCTCTGTCACCCCCCACCCAAAAAAACAAAAAACAAAATAGCATTTCATAAGATAAAAGGTTTATGAAACGTTCATAAACACTGTGTTGGAATTTCATGGACATTCCAAAGATATGACGTAGTAGTACATTTTATGTACTTTTACTATGCTTGACAAAAAAAGAAGAAGCTACCTCTTTCATGCTTTGTTTAGCCGTTAACCATCACTAGTGACAGCGGAGGGAAAAAAATGCATTGTCTTTGGAGGCTCCTGCGGTCTTCTCCATAAATATTAGTGTCCAGCACTGAAGTTGGCTCCTATCAGATGAAGCGTCTGGACCTGAAAAGGATCCCGCAGATATGATGGCGGTGGCTGTGAGGAACAGCTTCAGGTAAGTAAAACCCACCTTTCCCTGAACCCCACGGTCACCACATTGCAAGGCAGCAATGTCACCAGAAGGTGAGAAAGCCTTAAGTACATTTTCATAACCAAAGCATAAACACGTTAAAACAGATTTCAAAGTCAAAAGGAGATAGGTTTTCAGAATAACATTTATGAATAATTTTTTTTGCTGTACAGATAAAGTAGTGAGAACAGGTTTTTAACAGATAAGACATTTTAAAGTTAAACAGAATTTGCAGTAAAGGAAATGTAAACATTAGAGGGCTATATACAGGAAGAATTCAGGAAGACTGTGGAAGTCACATGCAGGCAGGTGTGACTATGGCTGATTAAACAAAGTGGGGCCTAACCCTGTTTTAAGGGCTGGTAGGGAAACATTGGGTGAGAGTAAGGACTAACGAGAGGAAACAAACACCTTCTAATGAGAGCAAGACAGTTTGTATAAGTTACCTATGACATGCAATCTAAATTAGCTCATCCAGACTATTTTCAGGTACCTAACAATTTGGTAAGAGCATCTCCTTGTCCTGGCACCAGCATCCCCTAATGGGAAGGTCTCTTTTCAAAAATTTTAACAAAAATGTCAGTATAGCGATAAAGGTAGATGGTGGCCCAGTTTCAGTTGAGGTTTGTCATGTTTTGGAAGTAGTCAAATATTTGCTAGTCACACCCTGTGCTGTAAGTTTTGAGGTCAAATGCACTTTACTTGCATAAAGTATTAGAGAAAATTTATGCCAAACTTACGATAATTTTCTTTTCTTGGCTAACCACGGCAGCATCACTTATGGGTAGTTCCTCCCTTAGCAGTCACAGGACAGGAATTAGATTAATTAGACTGATAGGTATAAATAATGCCTCCACCCCTTACACCATAGTCCAATTATAAAGCTGATTTAATAAAAGAATGGGTGGGAACCCTGATGCTGCCATGAGAAATAGCCAGGAAAAGAAAATTACGGTAAGTTTGTCATAACTTTTCTCTATTCCTGGCTAATTATGGCAGCATCACTTATGGGTAATACCCAAGCTCACAGAAATATATGGGGGTAGGGGGAGGGGGATAAAGAAACCGAGAAAAAGACACTATACAGCCACTCATGCTGCAAATACATTTTATATCAGTGGGATAAAGAAAACGTAGACTGAACAAAGGAGGTGGAAGAAGAGGCTACGTCCAGTTTGTAGTGTTTTCTGATCATCAGGGAAGACCGGGTGGCTGCTCTGCAAATATCATCGTATGGAACCTCTGCCCATTAGCCCATGAAGTTGACAATGCTTTGGTAGAATGTGTTCTTATCTTTATTGGAGGAGACTGACCTTTAGAGACATACGCTTTCCTGATTATAAGCGAAATCCAATGTTTCAACATGAATAAAGAAGCTGCCTCACCTCTCCTAGTTCCTGAAGGTAGAACGAAGAATTAGTCAGTCTTTCTGTATGACTTAGAACAAAGAAGGTATTGAGACAGACTGTTCTTAACATCCAAACGTTGCCCCCTAACTTCTTCACTAGATGTTGGATTAGGATAGAATGATGGAAGGGTCACTTCTTGAGAGAGATGAAATTGAGATACCACCTTAGGAAGAAACTCTGGTTTTGGTCTCATACACACCCAATCCTGATAGATTTGTAGGCAGGAAGTCATGGTAGAAAAGGCTATAATCTCTGAAATTCTTGCGGAAGTAATAGTCACCAAAAAAAAAGTCTTGTAAGGGGCAAAGGTTTAAAAATAATATCTGGAAGTATTATTTTACTGAGAGTGTAGTGGATGCATGGAATAGCCTTCCAGCTGAAGTGGTAGAGGTTAACACAGTAAAGGAGTTTAAACATGCGTGGGATATGCATAAGGCTATCCTAACTATAAAAGATAAGGCCAAGGACTAATGAAAATATTTAGAAAATTGTGCAGACTAGATGGGCCGAATGGTTCTTATCTGCCGTCACATTCTATGTTTCTATGTTGACGTCAGAAGGGTAGTATTCAAATTTTCAAGCGGAACAAACAGATTATCAGTCAGGTAGTTGAGAACAAGAGGATGGTCCCAAGGAGGGGTACCAGATCTGGAAGGAGGTCTGAACCTGAAAGCTGCTTTGAAGAATCTTGAGATCAAAAGGATCCGAAGGCCATGAGATATTGCATAATGCTGAAAGAGCAGAAGACTCAACTCTAAGAGTGCGGAGGCCAAGGCCTTTGTCCAGAGCTTCCTGAAGGAAATCCAGGATCGGAGTATTACAAGGTTTCAAGAAGTCAATGCTCCTGGTCGATGCCCATTTTCTGAAAATATCCAAGATTCTATGGTAGCACGAGGAAGTAGAACCCTTCATAGACGGCAAAAGGGTATTAACCACTGCTTCAGAGAGGCCTAAGTGATGTAGTCTTTCCTTTTTAAGATTCATACCCACAAGCTTGAGGTGTTCTGAATGGGGATGGGAGATTGGACCTTGACTCAGCAGATCTTTCATTATTGGGAGAAGCAGAGGTCGTTCCTGACTCAACTTGATTAAGAGAGGAAACCATGGCCTCTTGGCCAGACAGGGATAATAGCAACGACTTTTTTTGCCTTCTGTCCAAAACCTTTTGCAGAAATCTGGGTATCATGGGTAGGGGAGGGAAAGCATACCCCAGATCGAATAACCAAGGAAAAGAAAGCATCCTGGCCCATCGCCTAATTATCTGGACGGAGAGAGTAGAATTTCTCTACATAGTTCCTGGAAGTCGCCATCAGGTCGATCTGGGGTATGCCCCACCGATGGTCAATCCATGAGAAAACCCCCAGATGAAGCCTCCATTCTCCTGCAAGAATGTCTGCTCTGCTGAGAAAGTCTGCAGTAAAGTTCTCTTAACCCGGAAGATAGATTACCTTTAGACCTCGAAGCCCATTCATGGCCACTTCCAACAAGGGAGCCAGTTCCTTCAAGAGCAATTTGCTCCTTGTCCCTCCCTGGTTGTTCACATGAGGCAATTGTAATTATCTTCCAAGAAGGTTCCTCCAACGTGAAACCTTCGACAAATCCTTTTTGCCCTTCCACCAGTTCAACCCTTTTCTTACCGGGAAAGGCAGAGTTATCCTCTGATCCCAATCTGCTCTATTCTGTTGAATTGAAGAAGGAAGCAATGCTGAATAGGACGAGACTTGCACTGGGATAATTTTACCAGCCCTATTGTTAATGTCAGAGAACCTAAGAGGCTCATGACTTCTCTCGCGGAGGCCTTTTTGAGACTTTGTATTTTTCCTATTTTGTCTCAGATTTTCAAGGCCCTGTCCTAAGAGAGAAACACATGGGCTGAGATTGTATCTATCACTGCTCATAGGAAGACAATCTTTTGAGAAGGAATCAGGGAGCTCTTTAGGTTTAGAAGCCAACCATGATCTCTAAGAAAGTGGCTCATCATACTCTAGTGACAATGAACAATCTGGTGAGATGGACCATTATGAGGATATTGTCTTTGAACCTCTCTATCTTTGGAACATATTCTATTACCCCTTGTTCCTGAAGAGTAGAGATGCATTTCCTCATGGCTCTTTGTTTGGTGCCTGACAATACCCTTGGCTTCCTGAAGAGAGTGGATCTTGTAATCTTCTTTTAAGAAAGAACTGACTCAGATGTCTGAAATTTGTGGCCCAAACACGGTAGAAGAACCTTAATCCCTAAAATGGCCTGAAGACCTTCAGAAGTTCTTCCCAGATTTACTAGAACCTTTCCCTATGGAGGCTTTATTCACCGAAGACTGGTAGAAGCTTCTCCAAGAACAATTTCTCGAATATTCCCTTCCTGGTTTATAACTTCTGCTATCCCGAGAAGAACCGATCCTTGAAACCTTTGTTCTTCCAGGAAGAGGAAAAAGGCTTCCTTCTTTCTTATGGCAAAAAGGCTTTTTTGCCATCTGCAGCCTTTTGTATGGCTTCATCCAGAGTTCTACCAAACAATAAATCCCTCAGAAACGGAAAGCCACACAATGATGCCTTGGAGACATAGTCAGCTCCCCACAAATGAAGCCACAAGGCCATACCTTTTACAATCATACAAGTGATGTTGAAAGAGGCTTCCAAGCAGAACACCGTAGCCAGGCTGAAATCCTTGAGAGATTCCAGAAGATGTTATCTGCGGACTCCACGGTCAATATCCACCTCTGGAATAGCAATCCACACTCTCAAGGCCCTTGAGAGAGTGGCTAAGGCCACCACAGGATGGAGGGCGGAGGCCAGGGCTAAATAGGATTTTATAAAATCCCCATCCATACGCTTTTCCATCGGTTCTCTAAGGAAGGCCATGGAATCAATGGGAAGCGTAGTTTTCTTAGCCATACGGCTGAGTAAGGATAAATCCTTGAAACCTTATTCTTTAAGGTGGGTTTCCTTTCAGGTGTGTTTTATTCTTGAAGGAGTGTGTCCTTAATAGAAGAATGCACCGGAAATGTTGGTCTATTTGGATTCAGATCCTCAAAGAACCGGTCATCCTCGCTCAACTCTGACTTCTCTTCCGTGAGGCAAAGAGTGTCGCTGATCAGGGTAATCAGCGTATCAATAGACAGAGTCAAAGGGGCGAGGAGGTATACAACTTCCTCCTCAGAAATCGGCTGGGAGACCTCCCACATGTCAGGGTCTTCTTTCGAGCAAGAAGACTGAGGTTCCGCTCCGCGTCTTTTATATGGACCACTTTTATTCGTGGCAGACTTAAAGCCCTCAGCAATAGCTTGGGAAATCCCGCGTTTAAGGTTGTGTTGTTTGGAACTTCATTTAGAAGCATCCGCTATTCCCAATAAGCACCCTCTGCAAAGGTTCTTACCCTTAGGTGCAGAAGACAAACAGTGTAAGCATCGGTAGGTTTTTTTTTTTTTAATTCTTTATTTATGGTGCGTTTTCATTTTTACAAGATCACGTCCGGCCCCAACAGCCAGGACGGGCACTGTAACTGTAATGCAGGGTAACAAGGTTTGGTAATGGGTTAGTAAACAAGACATCTTATTAAACATTCGCACATTTTGTTTTTACATGGGAGTACTAGTAGGTTTTGTTGTAGCATTGTGTTAAGTTATGAGTGCGTTGATGAGGGAAGCGAGTGGGTAACCAAGGTATTAGTGGTGATGACCTGAGGCTTGTTTCGGTTACCCTAGTAGGTAAGTACCCCTAACCAAGGGGGTATCGGAGGGGGGTTGTACACCTCTTGTGGGTGTATCTCGTGTGTGTGTGTATATGCGAGATGGGTCTGAGGCTGCCTTTCCCCGGGACTGCTTAGTATGTATACCGGGTAGTGGTAGGGTGTATATCATGTGTGTATGCGAGGTGCTTCTGAGACTGCCCCTCTCTGGGTCTGTTCGGATGTAGAACATGTATGAGTGGGGTAACCAGTAAGTGAAGAGAAATCTGAACAGAGGTTAGTATAACGCATAATATAAACCAATATTCTTGGTGGTCTGTTAAAGTTCGTTCCTCGGTGTGGGATAATTGCGCCCTTTTCTTGATCAGTCAGGTAGTAGGTGTGGTTCTCGGTACGAATGGGATCGTTGATTCAGGGTCCCAGGTGTGTTGGACTTGGGGAGCAGAGGTTGCGGTTGGTGTTTCAGTAAGGCCCATTGTGTAGAGTATTGCAGGTGCCTCAGATTCAGTCGTCCCGTTGTGTGTTATTAGTAGGGATCTTGGCGTGCCCTATCTGTATGTTACCCCCGCGGAGCGCAGGCGGCTGGTGAGTGACTGCAGTGATTTACCCCATTGAAGTGTAGTTTTAGTGAGGTCCTGGTAGAGGGTTAAGTGCGATCCTTCAAATGGTAATGGGGTATTACCCCTCACTGCTGCCATGATCTGGCCCTTATCTTGTAATGTATTGCATCGGAGGATGACGTCACCAGTGATTGGGGCTGCCGTCTTCGTGATGGTGGGCAGTCTGTACAGTCCATGGATAGTGAATTTTTTGGCTAGCGCTGGCGGTAACAATGATGCAATCAGTCTTCTTGTGTAGTGAGGTAGTTCCTCAGGGGGTATCCCGCGGATCTTTAGGTTATTACGGTGATGTCTACCCTCATGTGCCGTCATTTGAATTGACATTGCCTGTTGTGTAGTTTTTAAGTGGACCATTGCGGTTTTCAGTTCAGCTACTTCATTTTGAAATTTCCCAATGTCCCCTTCAGTGTGGGTTGTACTGTCACTGAGTTGCTGCATGTTAGATTTCATGGAGGACATGTCTGCAGTTAAGAGCCTCTGTTTTTCCAGCAAGGTATTTTGCATATTGTGGAGATCCTGCTTAGTGGCAGGGGCTGTGCCTCCAGGGATGTCCCCAGTCATGGAGTGTGGGTCCCCCTGTGTTGCTGGGATGTGTGTCTGGCTTGGCATGTCAGGGGTTGCATGGGGATCAGGGCCGTTAGCGGCCGCCATTTTGGATGGTACCTGCCGTTGTAGGAGAGTTCCAATGTCCTGCTGGGACACTCTGTGAGCGTCGCCCCATTGCTGGTGTAGGACTGTGGAGAGTTTTTGCCGGGTAAGCCGGGGTCTCAGCTGCCTTATGTGCACCAGCTCCGCCCAGTAGTGCCTCGAGGTTGGCAAGCGTCGGCGTGAAGTAGGCCCCGGTCTTCTTTTTCGGTTTGGTCTGCCTCGGGGTATATTGAAAAGGCATCTGTCGGTGCCGCAGGATGTCCCCGATCTGTACCCGCTGCTTTCAAGTTCGGGTGGGGTCTGTTTATGTTTGATTTACGGCGGATTTCGCTCGCCGGGAAGGAGCTCTCAGAAATGGCGTCAGGCTCCGCCCCTCAAGCATCCGTAGGTTTTAACCCTTGCTTTACTTGGAGGGGAATCCAACATCTTGCTGGGGCTGAAATAAAAGCCATATATTAACATATATTACAGGCTTAGTCTGGCACTCTTTAACACCCCCTTTAAAATAAGAAAAAGTAATTGGCTCACCTATGTTTTCTAGAGAGGGATCTTGCAGAGGCAGAGGGAGAATCCATACTACAATGTACAATCAATGGAGCATGTAAAAGACAAAAAAAAAAAAAAAAACCCTAATCTATCAAATGCACAAACATTGAAAGAATAATAAACGCAAACCTTTAGGCAAGGGAAACAAATCCAAGCAGCCAGAAGAACAGGTCACCAGCTTCAATGCCCTCAAATAAGGTGATTGAAGCAGTGTACCAAGGATACCATCAGACGCTCTAGCAGGCACACAGCAACCCCAGCATGTACCAAACAAAAAAATCCCTGAGAGAGAGACCAGGAAACGCCAGTACCGCGCATGCGCAGCCGCTGGAAGGCACGCTATGCGTTCCAAGCAGTCACGTTATACCCTGACATCCATGTGCAGCTGCAAGCGGCACTTCCGTCCGTTGGAACGCAAACCACGTGGTAGCTCCCAAATGGAGGAACCTGTGATAGAAACGAACAGCAGACCCCATGGTCTAAAACAAACCCCCCCCCCTCACACAGGGGGAGACAACATTAACAGGGAAAACAGAGGGCTCCCACCAAGGGAGAACCCCCTA